GTTTTTTCTGTGACAAATATTTGTACTTAAATTAAACATTTTTTAGGAAAAGTATCAGTAAAGAAATTAATCGGTAAGAGAGTTGTACTATTAACATTGGTGTAAATTGCACCATGTTCTTTGTTCTCAGCTAAAAGACCATGCAATTACAATTGGTAATTATGTTAAAAATCAGAAAAGGTTTAAATTTATAAACAAAATGGTAATCAAAAAAAATTTTATAAGACAAACATTTGCTGTTACTGAGAAAGTCTTCTCTGATTTATTTCTTAATGAAGTTTTACTTAATATTGGTAAGTTTATTGTATTTAGGGAATTTAGGATTGAGTTATTAGTAAATCATTTATGCACTTTACTACTTGGGAAAACAAAAACAACCATTATAGCAGGAGATGGTTTCGATACATCGACTTCTGGGTTATGGGCACAGCATGCTTCCGCTGCGCCACCCTGCTACCTATTAGAAAATGTCAAGTTTACTAAGTGTGTTCAATAGTTCTTTGCAGTTGCAGAAATGGCTCAATAATTTATTTTGTATGAAATTTCTCTTTTTTCCATTTTTTAACATTAATTTCTTTTTTTTACCTGTAGGAAAAATTTTAAGATTGCAGCTCTTTTATTTGTGAAAATTAACACATTTCATTTAAATGAAATTTCCAGTTCGTCTAAAATAATGTTTTTAAGTAATGGCAATAAATTGCAAATTGGTAGCTGTCTTTTTTTGGTTAAACGTAGCAGATGTTGACACCTGAGAATTTGTTATCATAAATGCATTGCGTCTTAACATGTTCCTAGCACTACCTGTTAAGAAGTGTAGATAACATCACGAAATAAAGTGTGACTCAGCAATTGGCTCACACATTGTTTGAAAGAAATCTTTGCTGATGCATACACAAATTTCAAATTCAAGTGTAAGTCTCCTTTTTCTCTTAAAATAAAGGAAAGAGTCATTATCAAAGCTTAATAATCTGATTCTTTTGTGAACAGAAGCAGTTCATTTTCATATTAGCTTTATTTTCATAATGAATTATCTCCAATGTTAATGTGTTATAATCAAATTTAATAATATGTCTCTTAAATTTTTAAAATTCAAATTTCATGGAGACTGTTAATTCTAACAAAGTAAACATGATAGAGCCATGAAATACTGTTTTTTCTGTGACAAATATTTGTACTTAAATTAAACATTTTTTAGGAAAAGTATCAGTAAAGAAATTAATCGGTAAGAGAGTTGTACTATTAACATTGGTGTAAATTGCACCATGTTCTTTGTTCTCAGCTAAAAGACCATGCAATTACAATTGGTAATTATGTTAAAAATCAGAAAAGGTTTAAATTTATAAACAAAATGGTAATCAAAAAAAATTTTATAAAACAAACATTTGCTGTTACTGAGAAAGTCTTCTCTGATTTTTTTCTTAATGAAGTTTTACTTAATATTGGTAAGTTTATTGTTTTTAGAGAATGTAGAATTGAGTTATTAGTAAATCATTTATGCACTTTACTACTTGGAAAAACAAGAACAACCATTATAGCAGGAGATGGTTTCGATCCATTGACTTCTGGGTTATGGGCCCGGCACGCTCCCGCTGCGCCACACTGCTACCTATTAGAAAATGTCAACTTTACTAAGTGTGTTCAATAGTTCTTTGCAGTTGCAGAAATGGCTCAATGATTTATTTTGTATGAAATTTCTCTTTTTTTCTTTTTTTAACATTAATTTCTTTTTTTTACCTGTAGGAAAAATTTTAAGATTGCAGCTTTTTTATTTGTGAAAATTAACACATTTCATTTAAATGAAAATTCCAGTTCGTCTAAAATAATGTTTTTAAGTAATGGCAAAAAATTGCAAATTGGTAGCTGTCTTTTTTTGGTTAAACGTAGCAGATGTTGACACCTGAGAATTTGTTATCATAAATGCATTGCATCTTAACATGTTCCTAGCACTACCTGTTAAGAAGTGTAGATAACATCACGAAATAAAGTGTGACTCAGCAATTGGCTCACACATTGTTTGAAAGAAATCTTTGCTGATGCATACACAAATTTCAAATTCAAGTGTAAGTCTCCTTTTTCTCTTAAAATAAAGGAAAGAGTCATTATCAAAGCTTAATAATCTGGTTCTTTTGTGAACAGAAGCAGTTCATTTTCATATTAGCTTTATTTTCATAATGAATTATCTCCAATGTTAATGTGTCATAATCAAATTTAATAATATGTCTCTTTAATTGTTAAAATTAAAATATCATGGAGAATATTAATTCTAACAAAGTAAACATGATAGAACCATGAAATACTGTTTTTTCTGTGACAAATATTTGTACTTAAATTAAACATTTTTTAGGAAAATTATCCGTAAAGAAATTAATCGGTAAGAGAGTTGTACTATTAACATTGGTGTAAATTGCACCATTTGCTTTGTTTTCAGCTAAAAGACCATGCAATTACAATTGGTAAGGATGTTAAAATTCAGAAAAGGTTTAAATTTATAAACAAAATGGTAATCAAAAAAAATTTTATAAAACAAACATTTGCTGTTACTGAGAAAGTCTTCTCTGATTTTTTTCTTAATGAAGTTTTACTTAATATTGGTAAGTTTATTGTTTTTAGAGAATGTAGAATTGAGTTATTAGTAAATCATTTATGCACTTTACTACTTGGAAAACCAAAAAACAACCATTATAGCAGGAGATGGTTTCGATCCATCGACTTCTGGGTTATGGGCCCAGCACGCTCCCGCTGCGCCACCCTGCTACCTATTAGAAAATGTCAAGTTTACTAAGTGTGTTCAATACTTCTTTGCAGTTGCAGAAATGTCTCAATAATTTATTTTGTATGAAATTTCTCTTTTTTTTCATTTTTTAACATTAATTTCTTTTTTTTACCTGTAGGAAAAATTTTAAGATTGCAGCTCTTTTATTTGTGAAAATTAACACATTTCATTTAAATGAAATTTCCAGTTCGTCTAAAATAATGTTTTTAAGTAATGGCAAAAAATTGCAAATTGGTAGCTGTCTTTTTTTGGTTAAACGTAGCAGATGTTGACACCTGAGAATTTGTTATCATAAATGCATTGCATCTTAACATGTTCCTAGCACTACCTGTTAAGAAGTGTAGATAACATCACGAAATAAAGTGTGACTCAGCAATTGGCTCACACATTGTTTGAAAGAAATCTTTGCTGATGCATACACAAATTTCAAATTCAAGTGTAAGTCTCCTTTTTCTCTTAAAATAAAGGAAAGAGTCATTATCAAAGCTTAATAATCTGATTCTTTTGTGAACAGAAGCAGTTCATTTTCATATTAGCTTTATTTTCATAATGAATTATCTCCAATGTTAATGTGTCATAATCAAATTTAATAATATGTCTCTTAAATTTTTAAAATTCAAATTTCATGGAGACTGTTAATTCTAACAAAGTAAACATGATAGAGCCATTAAATACTGTTTTTTCTGTGACAAATATTTGTACTTAAATTAAACATTTTTTAGGAAAAGTATCAGTAAAGAAATTAATCGGTAAGAGTATTGTACTATTAACATTGGTGTAAATTGCACCATGTTCTTTGTTCTCAGCTAAAAGACCATGCAATTACAATTGGTAAGGATGTTAAAATTCAGAAAAGGTTTAAATTTATAAACAAAATGGTAATCAAAAAAAATTTTATAAAACAAACATTTGCTGTTACTGAGAAAGTCTTCTCTGATTTTTTTCTTAATGAAGTTTTACTTAATATTGGTAAGTTTATTGTTTTTAGAGAATGTAGAATTGAGTTATTAGTAAATCATTTATGCACTTTACTACTTGGAAAAACAAAAACAACCATTATAGCAGGAGATGGTTTCGATCCATCAACTTCTGGGTTATGGGCCCAGCACGCTCCCGCTGCGCCACCCTGCTACCTATTAGAAAATGTCAAGTTTACTAAGTGTGTTCAATACTTCTTTGCAGTTGCAGAAATGTCTCAATAGTTTATTTTGTATGAAATTTCTCTTTTTTTTCATTTTTTAACATTAATTTGTTTTTTTTACCTGTAGGAAAAATTTTAAGATTGCAGCTCTTTTATTTGTGAAAATTAACACATTTCATTTAAATGAAATTTCCAGTTCGTCTAAAATAATGTTTTTAAGTAATGGCAAAAAATTGCAAATTGGTAGCTGTCTTTTTTTGGTTAAACGTAGCAGATGTTGACACCTGAGAATTTGTTATCATAAATGCATTGCATCTTAACATGTTCCTAGCACTACCTGTTAAGAAGTGTAGATAACATCACGAAATAAAGTGTGACTCAGCAATTGGCTCACACATTGTTTGAAAGAAATCTTTGCTGATGCATACACAAATTTCAAATTCAAGTGTAAGTCTCCTTTTTCTCTTAAAATAAAGGAAAGAGTCATTATCAAAGCTTAATAATCTGATTCTTTTGTGAACAGAAGCAGTTCATTTTCATATTAGCTTTATTTTCATAATGAATTATCTCCAATGTTAATGTGTCATAATCAAATTTAATAATATGTCTCTTAAATTTTTAAAATTCAAATTTCATGGAGACTGTTAATTCTAACAAAGTAAACATGATAGAGCCATTAAATACTGTTTTTTCTGTGACAAATATTTGTACTTAAATTAAACATTTTTTAGGAAAAGTATCAGTAAAGAAATTAATCGGTAAGAGTATTGCACTATTAACATTGGTGTAAATTGCACCATGTTCTTTGTTCTCAGCTAAAAGACCATGCAATTACAATTGGTAAGGATGTTAAAATTCAGAAAAGGTTTAAATTTATAAACAAAATGGTAATCAAAAAAAATTTTATAAAACAAACATTTGCTGTTACTGAGAAAGTCTTCTGATTTTTTTTTAATGAAGTTTTACTTAATATTGGTAAGTTTATTGTTTTTAGAGAATGTAGAATTGAGTTATTAGTAAATCATTTATGCACTTTACTACTTGGAAAACTCCTTGAAAAACTCCTTGAAAAAGGAGTTGCAGTGATCTTAGACAAGCATACATCAAAGTGTACTTTGGGATATTGGGCTCTATCTGACCGCGTCATCTTGGTCAAGCTGAAGGGAAACCCATTCAATGTGAGCATCATTCAAGTATATGCGCCAACATCGGACGCTGATGATGAAGAAGTTGAGAAATTCTATGAAACTGTTGATGAGGCTTACTGCCAATGCAAATCTGCTGACATCAAGATTTTGATGGGTGACCTCAATGCAAAAGTTGGTGCAGATAGGGACGGAAAGATTGTTGGTCCTTTTGGCCTCGGTGTACGCAATGAGCGTGGCAACCGGTTTGTGGATTGGTGCAACCGTAACGGACAAGTCATCACCAACACATGGTTTAAGCATCATCCAAGGCGCTTGTATACGTGGATTAGCCCAGGTGACCGTGTGCGCAACCAAATCGATTTTATCACAATCAATGAACGATTTCGCAATTCGGTTTTTAACTCAAAGACTTACCCTGGGGCAGACTGCAACAGTGACCATAATCCCGTTGTTTTGACAATGAAACTTCGGCTGAAGAACGAGAAGAAAAGCAACCGAAAGAAGCAATTAGAGTACAAAGAACTGAAGAATGATAATACCAGGTGTGAGTTCAAAAGAAGATCAACTGAAAGACTTGACCTGAGTACTCCGAAAGCAGAACTATGGCATGTGGTTCGAGATGCCCTCAAAGAGGCGGCCGAGATGAGTTTGCCTGAGAAGAAGAAGCTGAAATTTGGCAAGAACTGGATGACTGAGGAGATTTTGAAGTTGATGGAACGGCGGAGGCTTCTAAAGAACAGAAATGAAGTGCAATATATTGAGCTATGCCGAGAGATCCGTAGAAAATGTAATAAAGCGAAAGAGGCCTGGCTGAATAAAGAATGCGAAGAGATGGAACGAAAGGGCTGCACAAACTCAAACGAGATATTTGATAAGGTCAGGAAGCTAACAGGGAAAAGAAGTAACAACAGAAGTGGTTGTATTCGTTCGGAAACTGGAGTCATGCTGACAGAACCTCGTGGCATTTGCGGCAGATGGGAGCGTTACATCACTGAACTGTTTCACGATAATCGAGGCGAACCACCACACATCGAGGCTAACATCGATGGTCCTGAGATAACGAAAGATGAGATCCGGAATGCCATTAGGAAGATGAAGAAAGGCAAGGCATTGGGCCCAGACGATGTCCCGGTTGAGTTATTCGAAGCAATGGGTGAAGAAGGAATAAAATTGCTGCACACGATACTCAATCACGCATATGATACCGGTGAACTTCCAGACGACTTTCTTCGCTCGGTCTTCATTGCGCTGCCTAAGAAACCCGGCGCTACCGAGTGCAAGGACCATCGTACCATCAGTATTATGAGCCACTCTGTGAAACTTCTCCTCACCATCATTCTTGAACGAGTCAGAACAAAACTGCGGCCTGAGATCGCAGATGAGCAGTTTGGTTTTATGCCCGATAAAGGCACAAGGAACGCCATTTTCACTCTTCGGATGCTTTGTGAGAGGGCTATTCAACATCAACAAGTGGTGTTCCTATGTTTCATCGACTACGTTAAAGCGTTCGACAAAGTTCAGCACGAGAAGCTCCTGAAACTTCTGCAAGAACTCAACATTGATGGAAAGACATTCAATTGATCAGAAATTTGTACTGGAATCAGGAAGCGGCCATCCGAGTGGAAGATATTCTTTCGGCATACAAATCTCGCGTGGTTTACGACAAGGTTGCGTCCATCTCCCGACTTTTTAATCTTTACAGTGAGATGATCCTCCGCACCATCATAGACATGGTCGGACTGAAGGTTGGCGGTGTGAATTTCAATAATCTTCGTTATGCAGATGACACTGTTTTGATTGCAACCACTGAAGAACAACTGCAAGCACTATTAGACCAGGTTGTGGAAGCAGCGCTGAAATGGGCCTGACTATCAATTGTGATAAAACCAAATCGATGGTAGTCAGCAAACTTGCAGAAAAGCCCCACTGTTACTTGAGAATTGGCAACGACCATATTGAGGAGAAGGAAAGCTTCAACTACCTTGGAAGTCTGCTGACGACCGATGTGAGATGCAAAAAGGAAGTGAAGAAGAGAATTGCTGTTGCAAAATTGAAATTTCAAGACTTGCGATCCATCTTTGTCAACCGAAACTTATCAATGCCACTCAAAATACGATTACTCAAATGCTACATTTGGTCAATCTTGACTTACGGCTGTGAAGCCTGGACTCTAACTGCTGACCTGGAGAAAAACTTAGAAGCAGCAGAAATGTGGTTTTTGAGAAGGATGTTGAAAGTGTCATTTATTGATCACGTCTCAAATGAAGAGGTTATGAGAAGAGCCGGTGTGAAGAGAGAACTACTCTGTAATAATCGAGACAACTTCGTTTTCTTGGCCACGTAGTTCGGAAGGAAGGCCTGGAATGTGTTGCGCTGCAAGGAAAAATCGAAGGGAAAAGAGCACGAGGCCGTCAACGCATAACGTATTTGGACAGAGTTAAGAAAGTTACCGGAATCGCCAACACTGCAGAAATCTTTGCCTGTGCTCGTAACCGTCAACGTTGGAGAGACATGGTAGCCCAAGCATGCATCATGCATGGCACCTGAACAGAAACAGAACTTGGAAAAACAAAAACAACCATTATAGCAGGAGATGGTTTCGATCCATCGACTTCTGGGTTATGGGCCCAGCACGCTCCCGCTGCGCCACCCTGCTACCTATTAGAAAATGTCAAGTTTACTAAGTGTGTTCAATACTTCTTTGCAGTTGCAGAAATGTCTCAATAATTTATTTTGTATGAAATTTCTCTTTTTTTTCATTTTTTAACATTAATTTCTTTTTTTTACCTGTAGGAAAAATTTTAAGATTGCAGCTCTTTTATTTGTGAAAATTAACACATTTCATTTAAATGAAATTTCCAGTTCGTCTAAAATAATGTTTTTAAGTAATGGCAAAAAATTGCAAATTGGTAGCTGTCTTTTTTTGGTTAAACGTAGCAGATGTTGACACCTGAGAATTTGTTATCATAAATGCATTGCGTCTTAACATGTTGCTAGCACTACCTGTTAAGAAGTGTAGATAACATCACGAAATAAAGTGTGACTCAGCAATTGGCTCACACATTGTTTAAAAGAAATCTTTGCTGATGCATACACAAATTTCAAGTTCAATTGTAAGTCTCTTTTTTCTCTTAAAATAAAGAAAAGAGTCATTATCAAGCTTAATAATCTGGTTCTTTTGTAAACAGAAGCAGTTCATTTTCATATTAGCTTTATTTTCATAATGAATTATCTCCAATGTTAATGTGTCATAATCAAATTTAATAATATGTCTCTTAAATTTTTAAAATTCAAATTTCATGGAGAGTATTAATTCTAACAAAGTAAACATGATAGAGCCATGAAATACTGTTTTTTCTGTGACAAATATTTGTACTTAAATTAAGCATTTTTTAGGAAAATTATCAATAAAGAAATTAATCGGTAAGAGAGTTGTACTATTAACACTGGTGTAAATTGCACCATGTTCTTTGTTCTCAGGTAAAAGACCATGCAATTACAATTGGTAATTATGTTAAAATTCAGAAAAGGTTTAAATTTATAAACAAAATGGTAATCAAAAAAAATTTTATAAGACAAACATTTGCTGTTACTGAGAAAGTCTACTTTGATTTTTTTTCTTAATAAAGTTTTACTTAATATTGGTGAGTTTATTGTCTTTAGAGAAATTAGAATTGAGTTATTAGTAAATCATTTATGCACTTTACTACTTGGAAAAACAAAAACGCCCATTATAGCAGGAGATGGTTTCGATCCATCGACTTCTGGGTTATGGGCCCAGCACGCTCCCGCTGCGCCACCCTGCTACCTATTAGAAAATGTCAAGTTTACTAAGTGTGTTTAATAGTTCTTTGCAGTTGCAGAATTAGCTCAATAATTTATTTTGTATGAAATTTATTTTTTCAAGTGGACATTTTTCGTGCAAAATTTCCTTTTGGCATTCTTATTTTTTACAACAGTTCCCAGGCCCCTTTTCCTCTCCAGGTAATTTAATAGACCTCAATGAGTCAAAACCGATAATCAATAACTACTACCGTGAAATTGGCACCACATTGGGACCTCATTCAAAACAACACTCATAACATTCATCACCACATTCATCTAAAATTCATCATTCAAAATGATAAATCGAAAAATCGTCTTTAAAACACGATTTCCATCAAATACAAAAGTAAAAAACAATTCTTAACTGTTTATTACTATTTTACCGTCCTTAGCCATCACAAAGAAAGTATAAAAGTCAAAAAATTAAGAAAACACTAAACTTTAGGTTACAGTGTACTTTACATTTTCCTTAATTAGCCTTTAATTTAAAAACTACACAGTAGAATTTTGTTAAACTTGGCCAGAATATAGATAATTATAATCTCTAAAATATATCGAAAATCTGGAAAGTGCACAAAAAAATAAGTTGTAAAAAATCATCCAATAAATCGGATGACACGAATACGCGTAATATAATCTTATATAATTAACTTCCTATATCCAGGTAACTATGCAAACAAAGGCCTATAAATAAAAAACTGCGCGGTAGAATTTTTTTAAACTTGGCCATATTGTAGATATGTTTATTGCCTAAAATATATCCAAAATCTGGAGAGTGCACAAAAAAATAAGTTGTAGAAAATCATCGACATACTTTGGTGACACGAATGCGCGTATAATGATCTTATATAATTAAGTTAAGAATTTCAAGTCATTCCTAAACAAAGGCCTGTAAATAAAAAACTACACTGTAGAATTTTTTTAAATTTTTTCATACTGTGGATATTAATATTGTGTAAAATATATCCAAAATCTGGAGGTGGCACAAAAATATAAAAGGAATAATATTCATTGAGAATGTACTCTGGTATAAACTGTGAAGTTGGCACCACATTCGACAAACAGCTCTATAGCTAAAAAACTACACGGTAGAATTTTTTTAAACTCAAGTACATTATAGAATTTTATATTGTCTAAAATATCAAAAATTTGGAAAGTGCACAAAAATATAAATGATAGAAAAACATCGGCAAAGTTGAATGACTCAAATGTGCGTAATATAATCTTGCATAAATAAGTTAAGAATTCCGGTTCTTTAACAAACAAAGCCCTATAAATATAAAACTACAATGTATAATTTTTTTAAACTTGGACATATTGTAGATATTTTTATTGCCTAAAATATATCCAAAATTTGGAAAGTGCACAAAAATATAAATGATAGAAAAACATCGACAAATTTGGATGACTCAAATGCGCGTAGTATAATATAATTCTCAACTAAATTATATAAAATCATATTACGCGCATCCGTGTCACCTAACTATGTCGATGATTTTCTACAACTTATTTTTTTGTGCACTCTCCAGATTTTGGATATATTTTAGGCAATAAAAATATCTACAATGTGGCCAAGTTTAAAAAAATCCTACCTTGTAGATTTTTATTTACAGACCTTTGTTTAGCAATGACTTGAAATTCTTAACTTAATAATTCAAGATCATAATACGCGCATTCGTGTCATCTAACTATGTCGATGATTTTCTCAAACTGATTTTTTTGTGCACTTTCCAGATTTTCGATATATTTTAGACAATATAATTATCTATATTCTGGCCAAGTTTAAAAAAATTCTACCTTGTAGTTTTTAAACTATACGCTAATCAAGGGAAATGAAAGTACACTGTAACCTAAAGTTTAGTGTTTTCTTCAATTTTTTGACTTTCATACTTTCTTTGTGCTGGTTAAGGACATTAAAATAGTAATAAACAGTAAAGAATTGTTTTTTACGGTTGTATTTGATGGAAAACGTGTTTTAAAGACGATTTTTCGATTTATCATTTTGAATGATAAATTTTAGTTGAATGTGGTGATGATTGTTGTGATGAATGTTGTGTTGAATGTGGTTCCCAAATGTGGTGCCAATTTCACGGTCGTTCAATAACTACCATTCTAGCCTTATATGGAAGATGGATAAAGTTGTAAAGTTGGTTTAAGAGATCTCTTCTTTTCTTTTTGCCTGTTTTCAGTCTATTTTACGATAATGGAGGAAGCATCGTTGGAAACTGTTGCAGCAGATGATACTTCAAACGAACCCCACGCTAGATTACTCTATGAACAAGTACATACTCCACTGAAATTGTCCTACGAAGTGGATACCTGTGAAGGTAATAACAACATTATTTTAATATTATTTATATGAATGATTTATGTCATTTCACAAGAAAGATTTGAAAAATAAGTATTAAAACCTCTTATTTCAAAAACCATGACCAGCCGACAATTTGAAGAAGTATAATATAAAACAAATTCCGAAGAAGCAAGACATCTTGAGATTGCAAAATATGAATCAAAACAGACAGAAGGATGACTTCATGTATTATGTCTGAGGATGACTTTGAAATAAAGTCGAAAATTTACAGTTTACTTCTCGTCTTGTTTTGATTCATATTTTGCAATCTCAAGATGTCTTGCTTCTTCAGAATTTGTTTTATATTAACTCTTATTTCAAAGTGCTCAATTCACGATTTGCAATTCAGTCATGTTGGTGGTATGGTACAAAAGAATATTTTATAATTGTTATTGTTGGCACCAGCCGACGTGGGAGAGCAACATTGTTTTGCAAATCTCAAGAGAACGGTTGCAAGTCAAGAATGTTATTTACCAAATTTTTGAATGATAAGTCGGTGAAATATTTAGATGTTCATCAATGAACCTTGGTCATGAATCCACTCAACTTATAGTTGAGTTTTGATTCTTCCTATGCAAATACTTTATGCATTGTGTTTATTCTTTAAAAGTGCATTTTTAAGGAATCAATTATTAACCATAATGGATTAGTTTTCAAAACACAATTTTTACATCTTTTTTACAAATTTTACAATATTAGGAAACATTAGTTCCAACATGCTTGCTTCCTCTTCGTGATAACAAACGTTTTTCCGCAATCCTCTTTGCAACATCTCGCTGACGTTTTAGCCTAACTGCTCGAATTTTCTTTTAAAGTAAGGACTTTCCACGTCCATGAAGCAGATATTCAATCCCAACCCATTCCTTCGGGTTGTCGTTATCTGATTCAGATCGTATTTCATCATATTTATTCTCATTATTTGCACGTGCTTGCCTTTCTTCTTTATCTAAGTGAACCTGATAACTTTCCTCCAACAATCTTTTTTCATTAGAAGTGATCATTCTAGATAACTGCAACGTAAAGTCGGACAATTCCTGCTGTGTTACCTTAAGTGCATCAATTTTCAATGTCTCTACGAATGAAATTCAGTTATACTTGTATTCTTTCTAACAAGCCAGCAGTATATCAAATTCATATTTTGAATAATAGATTGACACTCGTGTTCGAGGCTTGTGTTAATTTGGGATTGCTGCAGTGAGTATTCTTCGAAATCATCGGGATCCGACTCACTTTCAGACGGTGAATCACTACATGCAACAGAACGAGCATCAGCCAGGTTAAACCCAAGCAACATTAGCTCTGCATCGTCTTTTATCTGACTGACTTTATTCTGACTAGTCCTCTGTTCAACTTTCGACTGTCTACTTTTTGAATTAGTTGTGCCAGAATGTTGCGTAAGTTGTCTTTGAGAAAAGCCAGTTGTCTCTGCAACTGCATAACGCAGTTTTTTCCTTTCTGCATCAGAACTACTGCTTTGAACAAGAGCCTTGAAATTCTCTTTGCTAAATGAAGTGCTCCTGTTGTGTTTCTCAAACAACTTTTGAAGAAGACTGCGAAAAACGACTCTGAAGTTGACAGAGTCAGAAAATGACTCTGAAGATGATTACCGCTTAGGTTGTCGAAACGTCAGGCAACATCAACAACAACAGTCCTTCTCAGGACGATCTATATCTACAAACATGTAAAACTTTCTGTGCCAAAACGGATAGTTCTAAATTATGATATACTTTTGAATAACTTTGTTACGCAACAAATAACCCAATCTAACAAAATATCTGTTATAACTTATTTTTGTATAATTTCGTAAAAGCACTATTGCCAATACACATTTAATATAAACGACAACTTTTTTGAAAATAGACATGTTTCGACATCTCATGATGCCATTTTCAGTATGAGATGTCGAAACATGTCTATTTTCAAAAAAGTTGTCGTTTTTATTTTTGTATATTATGGTGAATCAAGGTCTTTATTTTTTGTTGATGTTTTACTAAAGGTTGTGTTGCCATGGGAAAACAGATTTCATTGTTAAGATGTGAGATGGAAGAATTGAAGAAGAAATTCGAAATCACCGAAAAACGACTTGAGAAAGCGGAGTTTGAACGCAGTACATCCGTGAAGTATGTTGACTCTGTTCGTGAGCAAATAAGACAACTTCACGAGAAACTTACGGTGGAAAAGACAAGAAATGAAGATCTTGAAAAAATGATTCTGGATCATAAAGCAGAAACGAGAACAGATGTTGTCAAAGGTGTGTAATTCATACCGCTGACCATAGGTGACTGCTTAATTACAGAAATGCACTTCTTTGGTCACAAAACTGTACCGTATATACTCGTTTGAACGCCGCCCGCGAAGGAGCCGCGCTCAAAAGTGTAAATGCGGTATGCCTTCTACAATGTGACAAAGTTTTTTATGCAATGAAAAAACTGGGTCTCTGTTTTAGCGCTATGGTTTTTGAGATCCTGCGACCATGCCTATGTACGGTTGCAACAAACAACATTTAAAAAGCACATTGTTGCAGCAATACTAGAATATTACAATTCAGAACATTGAGCATTATTATTTAGCAAGTGCCTGCTCTTCGGAAGTCAAGTCAATTCTTGTAATATTCCCACTCTTTTCGCACGCGGCCTTTTACCAAATATGAGTTATGTCTCACAACACCTTGTGTCAGGTTTTATAATTTTTAATTAATCCTTTCACTATTATAATTATGTAAGTTGACTGTTTGTCAAAATTGTTAAAACAGGGGTTTCAGATGCATTTTACGAAGGAGGAAAGATCGTGTTAAAATATGATTTTCGATGCTTTTGTATTTCAATGTTCCTTTGATGTTAAAGTATTTTCTTTTTGTCATATTTATTCTGATTACATCAGCAACATCAATTTATTTTAAAGGATCTGATGTTACAACCAGCACCAATCAAACTGATGTGGAGAAGGTAGGCCGATTTTGTTATGTGTACAGATCACTATCTTTAGTGCTAAAATTTCATCTTGTAAAATAAAATACATGAACAATTTTAATGTTGTCTTTTATTATGCGCCAAAGAGTATAATAGTGTTAACAATTAATCCTAGCTTCACAAGATAGATTCTTTCACCCCAATCTAATAAAATAAAGAAATTCGTTTTGCGTCGTCTTTGATTAGTGTAGCGAAGGAGTCTATTCAATTATCTTTCACTAGTTGAAAGTTATCTCTTGTTAGTTTTGGTTAAGCATACTGTGTAATTTAGAATGTAAGAGAAATAGTGTCCTTCTTTGCGTATATTTTCTTGTTGAAACTAAACGACTACACTTTGAATGTTTTGAGTTTATGATCGATGTTGCATGGATTTACTAAGTCAATTCTTTCCATCCACGCTGGTCGCAAACTACAATCTTTTGGAATTCGGGGATAACTAACATCCGTAGTATTCTGCAAATTATTAGTACAATCCGGAGACATGCAATGAAGCATGGTTCGACATGTGAACAATCTCGAGAGAACGATGCATTGTATTTTAAAGAATCATTATCAACCACAATGCAACGCGCGCTCAAATTATCTTCGCGGCCATTTTCTTGGTTGAATAAATAGACAAACGTTTTATCAGTCTGTAATCCGTGGATATTCTATGCATCTTTTGTGGATGTATAAAAATTTGTGTCATTTTTGGATGAAAAAAGTATTTTCATTAGCTTGCTAATGATATTTTTTATAAACGTATCTGATTGGGTGGGCAAAAAACTATTCAAACTATAGCAAGTTCAAAACGGTTGAAAATATGCCTAAAACAGGAAGACCAGAACTTGGTATTCAAATAAATACTTAGCATTTAGAATCACACAACTTTAACTATTGTCGAAGTTGGGCGAAAGAGTCTAAGAGAAAGATCATCGTGTAATGAGACAAATTATCATATTTAGCATGAATACAAGTAAACAGGATGTGCGTGTTGCTTTGTGTTCTTTAAATACATCGTGTTCAAGCCGGTTATCCACTTGCGATTTTTTTTCGCGCAAAGCGATAATTTTCGAGGCGAAAAATTTCGTGCGAATTTGTATATGATTTCCACCAGTAATAATAAAACCGCGAAATACAAAAAATATTAATACAAAATGGCTGAATCACACACTAGCTATATGACTGCTAATTTTTGAAATAACATGTTATGATTGTCATTGCTGCAATTAATACCAGAACGCCCAAGAAAGTACAAGAGACGGTTTTTGATTCGTGTTTATAAGTTGAACCGGCACATAAAAGGAGAATTTCATCTCCTCGTAAGAGAGCTTAGTATTTACGACCAGGAATATGTTTCCATAAGCATCGTTTGTTTCGTACTTCGTCTAAGTAATTCCTTAGTCAAAATAATCGGCTTTTTGTAAAGTAGAGTCGTTAGATGGTATGGAAAGTCCTTCATGAGCAAATAACTCCTCAACATCCGCCATTTTGAAAACTGAATATGGTTGTAAGACATCACCATGGATATCACAGATTAGAAACACTTAAATCTGACTGGCTGGCGATAATGTGGAGCGATTTGCACTCAACTAATTTTTAGCGCAAAACTAGCTCTCTAATCGGGGGAGGGGTCTAATTATTGCTATCGCTGGTTTCGCTTCTCACACGTGGAGATTTTGTGTAAGGAAGATATGTAGCGAAAAAATGTTGAAAGGTGAATACCATTTCTTAGTACAGGAGACGAAGCTATGTGACCAAGTATAACAAATGCTAGGTAAGATCCTGTTCATTCAGAAGAAAGACTTTTTGTAACATTGCGTTACATTGCTAGTGGAGACTCGCAGGTTGCTATTTCATCAAGTTATCGAATAAGTCAAACACCTGTTGGATGAATAAGAAAAGAAACAGCGGAGACACTATGGGATGTGCTTTTGGAAAAAAGTTTTTTTAGGGCTCCAGAAACAAATAGTGAATGGAGAAATGTTACTCTTGGATTTCAGGTAAATTTGTTTAAGAACAATCAATGGAACGCATGTCACTATTCAAGCTCTAACAAACAGTGCATCATTGTTTTACAGTTACAAGAAGTCATTTAGCATTGTTTTGTTGGCAGTATGCAACTCCAACTATGAGTTTACTATGGTTGACATTGGTGAAGCAGGAAGGCAGAGTGATGGAAGGATATTCTCTAGCAGTACTATTTGACATGTAATCACCAAAAAATTGCTGAACTTGCCAGACCCTTGCATCATTCATGGATTAGCATTCATGGCACCATATGTTTTAGTTGCAGATGATGCATTTTCTTTACGTGTTAACATTATTAAGTCATACTCACATGAAAATCTAAATCTAAGTGAAATAATCGCAAATTATCGAATTAGCGGAGCTAGAAGAATAATAGAAAATAATTTCGGAATAACGGCATCACGGTCCGTATATTTCGGCGTCTTATTCTTGCAAAAGTAAACGCAGTTGAGGCAATAATAAAAGCAAGTGTTGTATTGCATAATTATCTCATAAGAGATGGAATCAATCATAGAAGTAGTCCACACTGCCCACATACCTTTGTTGATAAAGAAATTTATAACAAGCAAAGCCATGGCGACTGAAGATCTATTGTAAAAGCTGACACAGGTGTTTTACCAATACAGCGTATTAGATCTAACAACTACAGTCACGATGCAAAGATAGTGGGGGATCAGTTTCATGAGTACTTTTGTTCATCTGTTGGTGAAGCTCCTTGGCAAACCCAAAAGATTGCCATTGAATGCAACAGGAGAACATGATGTGATTTAATTATGCAATTCTTGAACATTTTATTGTATAGATCATAACATAAGATTCATAACATAAAACTTGAAAAGTTTTATAGCAATAATAACTTACGTTTTCTTGCAGCAAGTAGTCCCAAAGGTAGCAAACAAAAATATAAAACACCACTTGTTTCATTTTGGCAAGACTATTCAGATATACTTTCAGAAACTATGGTCATAATTTGACTTTTGATTATCAAATTATGTTTTGGAGGCATACTTTTCAAAAATTCAACTAAACTTAAGAAAAAGTGTGTATCTGCATCATTAGGTTTGTCAAAATTAGCTTTGTTATTTGAAAGTGCATCAATTATGAGCTTATCCACAGGATCAATTTCCTTTTTTCTGCGTTTGATTGGGCATTTGGGAACTTTTTCAGCTGTTGGTTTTGTAGAAGGCATGTTGCAGTCAAGTAAAGGAGACAAATCATCTTCTTGGTTTATATCCACCACAATTGATGAATGGTCATCAACACCAATGGTTGAATCCCCAAAGACATTCGTATTGACCAAATTGTTGTTACTGAACGTGCTTGTTATCAAAATGTCTTTCAAGAAATGTAATTCGTTGTAATAACGACATCTTTGAGTCATTGTGTAAGCAGATTTGGACTTATTTTGTTCTTTTTCTCGGTCATTAAATTTTTTATAGCTATCATACAAATTTCTCGATTTCTTTTTTGCATCTTGAACTACAAATTAGGGAACATCTTTTAAAGCTTCAATCATAAAAATTCAAAAAAAGAAACAAAAATTTAATCAAAATCAATAATAAAAAATAGCGAACCTCAAATTTTCAATTTTAATGCAATTTTTTCCCATGAAATTTTTCTCTCGTGAATTTCTTTGTACGCTGAGGATTGCTTATTCCATAACCCGTGAAAAGTTTGTAATTCTGCAATCAAAGGTTGAAGTATGTCGCTGTTTTCAACTGACCGTCCGCTCCTGCTTGACTCCTTATTGAACTTGAAAATTTCGCCAGCCGTCGCCAAAAAAGTTGAGTTGATCTCAACTATATTCTTTCACGAAGAGAAAAAAAATTTCCCTTAAAATGCAGTAATTTAAAACTACACGTGCGCTCTGTACCTGATTTCGCGCAAAAATTTCACTGTTTTTCAAGTGGAAATCCACCTTTAAATTTTCGTCGTGCGAACATTTTGCGATTTTCATCGCTGTTTATATGTGACGTCGTTGAACGTCTATGCATGCCTAAATTCGAAAAATATCGCTTGCTCGAACAAAATTCCAATTGAAAAACCGGCTTTACATTTTGTGATTTGAGTCCTATCACTTAATGACATTAAAATACTCAAAAAGAAGTGTATTGTCTCCCCGTTTGAAGAAACATGGCGGATGAAATGGACGACAAATTCAGTAAAAAAAGTTAAATACCTCGGCGAAGAAAAAGATCTGAGGTGAACGAATAGCCATTCCGTAGTATAATCATAAAGTTCTTTCATATAATGGCACTTATTTCTGGACCGGAGTTCTCCCTTTTATAAATATATCTGTCAGCTCGTGGAGCATGCATTGTTGCTAAACGTGCAAGTTGTCGTAAATATAAAAAAACAGTGGTTTTGCCAGTTTGCTAAATAATGAGAATGAAGAACTTGATGTAATTCTAAAATATATGATGATTAGATGTTTAATGCAAAAATCTAAGCTAATTAAGTTGTATAATTGTCAAAACAAGTCATTACATACTCAAGTGTTTAGTTGCGGATGTTTACGATTGTAATTTGTATTCACCGTAACATGCGTGCGCATTGACACTGCTTTTAAACAGTCTTACGTGATCATCATTTGTGACACTGGCTAATTCATCCTGTTTTTTTACAGGAAATTGCTACTTCAATAAGAGAAGCAGCGAAGGTATTTATTCTGCTTCGTCAGTTTTTATTTGGCTGCTTTTATTCATAATCATTCCGCAGAGAGGTGAACAGCCTTAATTTGCAATGATTCAACTATTGGGAAATATTTTATTTTGAGGATTAGTTTATCGAAGCACTGCATTTTTTTCGTGGGAAACTCTTTTTCCAAGCATCGTTATGTTTGAGCCGACTATATTAGTAACACTGCATTTATTGACATCACGCCCACACCTTGATTCCTTGAAAATCTGTAAATAGTGTGAAACAAACATGTGTTACTGTTATATTTTAGTTAATGTAAAAACATGATTTTCTTAGGATATCGCTACCTCGATAAGGGAAGCGGCTCAACAGGCAACGACTAGTCATGGATTTGTATATGATGAGAAATCTGGATTGTACTATGACTACAACACTGGATATTACTACAACCCGGTCAGTGTCCATATGTACCTATATGTATGAATGTTTTTTTCTTCTTTACTCCTATACAGTTTACGTGCTTTTTTGCCATGTTCATAAAAGCATTTTTGTGCAAAACGGCTTGTGACAATTTTTGGAGGATGTTTTTTTCCTCGATTTGGAGATTTTCAACAATCAATCACAGCAAATTACTAATATACGCACATTATGCAATTGCTTATGTGAACGCCAATTTTGGAAAGCCTTAGATGCGCCAAGTTTTTCGAAATGTGCTTTTTCGAAGAACCCTCCGCCTTTGAATGATGTGGTTATTGTTTGAAGTTAAAATTTTCTTCTTTAAGACACTTTCTATCACTTTTCTAATAATTTTTACTGAGTTGTGCAAGTTGCATCCATTCTGAACAAACTTTGTGATGCCTATTAATGCCTATTGTGTTGACTGTCGTCCACATCTGTGAACAGTGCTCTGTCATTAGGTGGATTGGTATCGGTAATATGTGTGGATGTAACTCATTACAAAGCGCAACAAACGTCTGCATTGCAACTACCCAAGATTAAATTTCTCTTCCGTGAATCTGCTCTTTCTTCTCTTCCTCAACTTTTTTCTTTGATGCTGTATTTTTTATTCATAGATTTTGGAAGTATAGTATTTGTCGCCCCGCAGCGTAAATTAGAATTTGAATAATGAAATAGGATAAAACAGCTTTTTAAGGCACGTAGCCGAGAACTTCAAGACAAGTTGCAAAACTTGAACTGTTTTGTTGTATAAAATGTCAATCTTGCGCACGTTGTTTCGTGCGACGTATTTTTCTACCTATGCAATAGATAAATCGCATATATAATGTGCGAAAAAAGCTGTCTCGCTTGACCGACTTGCTTGTTACCCTACTCAGCTCCCTTCCATGTAATCAGGGTAAAGAGTAAAGTAAATCCTTACCATTGTAACTGTACTTAGCAAAGTTTCAAGTTATATTCCTGCCCAATAAAAAATGCAACAGTAAACAGTAATGCTGAGAGCAATGACCTAGAACCCAATCTACTAGATATCTGACTCCACCAAACTTCTATAAATACTTGTGAGGCAAGCCGCCATCTTGAAAGGTGGAAAAACTGGCAATATTTATGATTAATATTTGCTTTTCCTGAGTTTATATTCAGTTGCAAAGTTGATAGTATAGGGTGAATTTTTAAAATTTTTCATAGGATTTGGTTTTTAACCTTCTTTTACCTTTTTTTGTGTTTTCATTTTTGCTTTTTGCCACCTTTCAAGATGACGTCCTTGTCTCGCCTTGAAACGGTAGGTACACATCTTTGGCTGCGAGAGTCATTACTCGCGTCGGGCTCTTGCATAACATCAGTGATCCCCGCAAAACCTCCAGGTAGCACTTCGTTAGGAGATTGTACATGTCTAGAAAATATTTTTACGTGTGTGCCGAAATGTACCTATGTTTGGTTTTTTGATGGCTGTCTATTCAAATTTATCAATGTGATTTGTCTGTTTGACTGGATATAAGAACATAAAGGCGAAAACATGTGTTGTTGATTTATGGTATTTAGACACAAGTTAATGACGAGGAATCTCCCGATCTTTTAACTTGTTTGAATCTGGCAGCGGCCTTTGTAATAATTTGTTCTCTCGCTCGGGTTGTCGGCCATTGTTAGGGTCATCTTTAATGACAGTTAACAATCGCATTATAGAAAATCTCATTTAGCGAGTACGCAGGACGCCGGAACGTCAATAATTTTTGTTTGGGGGGGAGGAATATTCGTATTTTGCCTGGGTACTTTCTTTTGAAATCAATTGTTTTTTGCAAGCTGTGACTACGAATTTATGAATATTTGCCTTCCCAATTATCGACGTTCCGGCGTCGCTGCGACTACCATAAGGTGAAAATTTTGCTAATTTTGTTGCCTGTATCAAAATAATGGGAAATACCACTGTTTTCTCAGAATTCTCGTCTGTACTACGACTACCGCACGGGCGTGTACTATACTTACAACCAAGAAAAAAAGTCGTACGAATTTTATTCCCAAGTGACGTTAAACACAGCTACGAACATGTCGACTGATAATCAAAGTTGGACTGATTCAGTCTCGTGTGCAGAAAAAACAGATTGTGAACAGCGTTATGTGTTGAACATAGCAGATACAACCACGATTGATATGGTGGAGACTGGTAGCGAGGATGGAGAGATCATTGAAGTTAACGTGTCCGAAATCGATACGAAAGGTATTAACTTTATAGATGGTGCTGGTTTTTTATCTTTGATATTTTTTTGTTGAAAATGTCATTTCTGTGGTGGTTTTGTGTAGTTTTTTTGTGTTGATCTATGGCTTTATTTGTTTAAAGAATATGTGTCAACCATGCAAGATCCATTGCGCGTTCGTCAGAGGGTGAAGGGCATTTTTGTGGTTTGAGAAAATGGTGGATTTCGTTATTGTAGTCCATGCAACTCATACAACGATAATAATTAATGTAAAATACACTTGTTAATCAATGTTTTTTGCTAACTTTTCAGATAAATTAGAAGACATAGTAACGAAATTGATGTCCATGTGCTGTAAGCTCAAAAAGTACCGATGTAAACATAAAAAAAAACGCAATGCATCTTGATTGACACACGTTCTTTAACTTCGCTACTTATACAGCAGCATATTACAGCGATCCCTCACACCACTTCAAATATATAATAATTTAGAAACAGCACATTTTAGCACCATTAGTACGTTTTGTAATGTTTGAGAAGTTCACGTTTAAAGTGAGGTGATTTTATTGAATGGTAGGATATTCCACCCTCTGGTTGACCTGTTTGATTTTTATCTTTGCTGTTAATTTCCACAATTTGCTCTTCTTATGTCAAAGTACTCATTTAAATATGAAAATCGAATGTGGTTCAGTTGAAGTAACCTTTTTGAGTATGTAATTTCGCTAACAAGCGTGCATTAAGATGAATTTTGTGGCTTGTCTTGGCATTTTTTCTATTTGTTTGATGAGACTGATTACAATGTTATGTGTGATGATTTCTTCCGTTTTATTACAATTAGTGACACATTCTTACACACGGAAATTGCTCGAGACAAGCGAACTCGTTGTAGGTTCAAACAATGCATGTTTATTGAATGGTACATGGCATTCATTCATGTGCGTTTCGTTTTATGTTATGATTTAGCTTTGTTGTATATGTATAATTCATAAAAGCTCGTGTGATTTAATTTAGACGATGATGATGAGGTTGATATAGTCAAAGATGAATACCCGCCATGTATTCGGGGCATTGTTTTGAAATCCAACAGTTGCGTTGTTGGTGATTTGATTATAATCACCTGCATGGGCATAACATTTGGACGGTAAGTTATTGTGGTAAAGAATGAGTTTCAGGGTCATTCTTGCGCACTTTGTTGGCCATTTTAAGCAAACTCGCAAATTGGCAGCTTTCATGTCGGAGGAATAGGAGGGTAATGAAATGTAAATGTCGAAGGAAAGTGCAAAGCATGCTCTTACGATTCACTTTTTTGTTTTATCATGCTGCTTGCGAAATGGTCTTTTTCAGAATGTGATTTCGAGTAAAACTTTACTTGCACCATTACTTAAAGAGTGATTGTCAACCATGATGCATTACGCTCATTTGTTTACGTTTATTTGGGAGTCTAACTGTATTTGCCGCTGTTATGCATGATTTCACATTTCCTCTTTTACCAAAAATACTGAAATATATGTAGATTCATGTATATTAACTATTGTTACCTGAGAAAACGAATAATTCTACAAGGACTTGATCCATTACAATGAATTAAATAACAATTGCTCTTGTCAGTCCTTTGGTTTTGTGCTTCGAGAATTTCTGATTATTCTCTCAATGCATGATGGTTGACATTGTTTAGAAAAAGTTTTTATGATTATAAGCCTGGTCTCATAAAGTCGTTTCAGTCGTACCAAAATTTCACAGACGACCCGTGCGACTGTATGAGAACATTTCAAAGGCGATCGGGATGACCTCAAATGACTCACGTGACTGAAAAGCCCGTTGAGAAATGGAAGCGACCTTTTTATGGCGCAAAACGATTGGAAGAAGCAATAATTAGCCAAAAGACTTTATCTTTGAGAAACAGCCGCTGCCATTTCCAAATGTTTCGCGAAAAAATTAATTAAACAGTCTCTCGGCAGCGCTAGTACGAATATATGTGAATTGCATAGCTTGAGTCGTCCCAGTCGTTTTGAAAAACAACGAAACAACTCGGATGACTCAAGTGACTTAATGAGAACCAGGCTATAGAAACACGTGGGAAAGTTTGAGAGAGATGGAAATTGCGTGGTGAGCAAAACAACATAGTAGCTACAAATGTTTCCAAGCAATTTCGAGTTTCTTGCAACTTTCCCCAGTTTTATTATTCAACTGGAACAAATAAAATGTTTTCTATTTGCTTTATACAGCAGCGTTTATGAAAGATATTAAAAAAGTAAAATTATCGATTTTTAATTACGTTTGTATTTTTGCCTTATAAATTTCTCGCGCCGACCCCGTAACCTGCGAAACTGAAATTCTCGTGTTGTTTTTATAAAGTTTTATAAACGCGGGTTTTCGAGAATAAGACTTTTTGTAATGCAACTTGTAGATCAGTTTGACCGGAGAACTTTTTAAGATGAGGACGGTGAAAACAAGAAAAACTTATCAAAAAATATAGATTGAACTGCAAAACTGCCCTCAATTTTTTATACGTTATTTCAGCTAGTTCAATATAATTTAAAGGACAATGTAGTTTGTTAGAAGGTTGAAAGTATTATCTTAGAAGTAAATAATTATATCAATAAGATATGTTGTACAATATTTCAAATTAGTAATAAATTTATAGTGATGTATACTGAGATGTTTAGTGTGTATACCTCTGGTTTATTTTTAGAGGAGATGACCAAACATCCAGAATTGATTTTTATGTGAAATATACAAGAGTTCGTTACAATCCTTATACTTTCTTCATTTCATTTTTGTAGCTCTGAAGGGGGTAGCAAATTCATGAAGCTTTCCGATATCGAAGTTAGTAAGGTATGACGTGTATCTTTATTTTAAGGTAATTTTTGAAATAAAGATCCATGAGTTCATGACATTTTTGAAGTGCTAAGTAGCTTAGGAATTTAGCAAATCATCTCACAGATTTGTGCTAGCATTTGGGTACTTTAGCATCCTTATTTTAATCTGACACTAAAAATCAATTTCGAAAAACCAGAGAGTTATTTGCAAAAACTGCATTTTTAAAGGCATTTACTAATTTAATAAATACGACAAGTTTTTTCAAAATAAACATGTTTCAACTTCTCATGATGCCATCTTCAGTATATAAGAAAGAGTATGATGTATGTGATAAATATATGTAAGAGTGATATGATACACTGATACAATTTATACAATTATGAGTAGATTACAATGAAATAGTGGTTAGAATTAATGATCAGATGAGGCTGAATATAGTGTTAAAACGAAAAACTTGAACGTTGAGATTAGGGTTAGTTTTGTTAATGTGAAGTGCTTCTTTGATTTTGAGTGCGAATGTGGTATCTGCAGTGTCGATGATTTTAAAGCTAGATGGTGAGTAGTTAGTTTTGCATGTAGGTAATTTTAAAAGGTGTCGATAGATATGTGAGTTTTTGTCAGTTGCGGTGTGTTCCCTGATTCTGGTGGACAAGTGACGGATGTTTCGTCAGTGTATCGGGAATTACATCCAGCACAATCGAATCGGTATACCACCATAGATTTAGTAGAATCAGGGATAGGATCTTTGAATGAAAAGTAGTTTTTGATTTTGAAGGAAGTGAAGATTAGTCGGATGTTGATGTCAGTGCAGAGGCGTTTAATGATGTTTGTAAGTCTGCGTTGTGTGTGAATGATGTCCGATGTACGGTAATTTAAAGTAAAGAGTTTTTATAGATTGTTCGTTGTTGTTGGTCGTGGTTGTTATATTGGATGTTTTAGTGTTTGCTTTGCAGTTAGTATTAGTTTTGTCATGGAGATATCGTTTGACAGTTTTTTTGATGAAGTGTAATGGGAAAGAATGTCGTAATAAAATAGACGTGACGTTCTTTAGGTCTTGTTGAAAGCCATTGTCGGTGGTGTTAATTTTGTATGCTTTGTCTATGAGTGTGCGTATTAATCCAGTTTTATATGAAAGTGGTGTAAAACTGAAGTAGTTCGTCAATAGTCCTGTGTAGGTTGGTTTATGATAAGTTGACCTTGTATAGGTGTCATGTAGTTTTGTTGATAAAATGTCTAGAAAAGGTAGTTGGTTTTGTTTTTCAGTTTCGAAAGAAAATTTAATGTTCGTGTGTTGTTTGTTGATGTAACTAAAAAAGTTCATAGCCTCTAAAGAACATCACATCTATTTTATTATGCAACTCTTGCCCACTACACTTCATTAACAAAACTGTCAAACGATATCTCCATGACAAAACTAATACTAACTGAAAAGCAAACACTAAAACATCCGATATTACAAACGCGACCAACAACAACGAACAATCTATAAAAACTCTTTTCTTTAAATTACCGTACATCATTCACACACAACGCAGACTTACAAACATCATTAAACGCTTCTGCACTGACATCAACATCCGACTAATCTTCACTTCCTTCAAAATTAAAAACTACTTTTCATTCAAAGATCCTATCCCTGATTCTACTAAATCTATGGTGGTATACCAATTCGATTGTGCTGGATGTAATTCCCGATACATTGACGAAACATCCCGTCACTTGTCCACCAGAATCAGGGAACACACCACAACTGACAAAAACTCACATATCTTTCGACACCTTTTAAATCACTATCATGCAAAACTAACTATTTACCCTGTTGCTTTGAAATCGTCGACACTGCAAATACTACATTTGCACTGAAAATCAAAGAAGCACTTTCCTTTAACAAAACTAACCCTAATGTCAACGTTTAAGTTTTTCGTTTTAACACAATATTCAGCTTGTAAATACACTCATCTGATCATTAATTCTAACCACTATTTCATTGTAATCTACTCATAATTGTATAACTTGTATCATTGTATCATATTACTCATACATATATTTATCACATACATCATACTCATTCTTATATACTAAAGATGGCATCATGGGATGTTGAAATATGTTTATTTTAAAACAACTTGTCGTATTTATTAAATGCGCTTTATCAATAGTGCTTTTACGCAGTTACATTTACTAATTGGAATAAAGTAGTAAAATTCAATTTTATTTTCACGTGACGAAGGTTTGACTCCTGGGGTTTATAAAAGAATGAAATAAAGTAAATGGTTTGAACCCGGGAGTGTCGTTACATGTTTGTAAATGTAGATCGTCCAAGTTGGTATAGTCCTGAGAAGCACTGTTTTTGTTGTTGTTGAATGACGTTTCGAAAACCTTAGCGGTAGTCATCTTCAGAGTCAAATGAGGAGTAAACGTCAGGTTAGCCGTATTTGTTATGTGGTTCTTACGTCATTGTATTGTGTGTACAGGAAATATGTGGGTGGCAATTGTGTATTGTCATTGTCTCGGTCCAGCAGGACTTAGAATTAAGTCCCCGTTGAACATACAAGAGGCTATTCAGATTGTCAAAGCCACCAGCAGACGACTGATACGAGCACGGATTAACGACTGTCACAGAAGAATCAACTATTTACATCAAGCAACAATAACAAAGACTGAACAAACTAAAGGAACTCATACCAACGACAGTAAGTGATACTTTACTTTCTACAATACAAACTATCGCAGAGAAACGAGCAAACAAGACAGAGGCACAACACCAAATCAAACAACAACAAAAACTTAAACGTTTAAAACGCACTAAAACACGTACAAGACATAAACATGGCGATAACTGTGTGAGGAATATTTCTTCCCGCTCATTAGACGAAGCTGAAACGCGACTACTATCTTACGGACTAAAACAATCCATAACACCTAGAAGAATACCGACTTAGACGATAGTATCAAGTGTCGAGGCTGTCCTAGCGTATCAAAGAGACTTGTCAGAGACAACCAAAGACGAGACCAGAAGTAGGGTAGCCTCCGCTTTACAATCGTCCTCTGTACGTGAGAACAACTTGACAAAGGACGAGCAACAAGCACTCAAACGACTAAAACACGACAACAACATCGTCATTTTACCAGCAGACAAAGGACGCGTGACTGTGGTCATGGACAGGAATGATTACTTCGACAAAATGGACACCCATGTTAACGACAGACAAACTTACGAACAACTCAAACGAGACCCAACACCATCACTATTACGCAAACTTAACAGCAAGATCTTCTCTATGAGAAAATCTAACATTATATCCGAACGTATTCACTATCGACTTAGATGTTCAGTGCCACGACCACCCAGACTATATGGACTACCAAAACTTCACAAACCACCAATACCCATGCGACCAATTCTATCATTCTGTGGTTCGCCTACTGACGAACTCTCAAAGTAGTTGACTGACATACTGCAACCACTTACAAGCAAATCAAAACACAAGCTAAAATCCACTGAAACTTTCATTAAAAAACTGAGCACTATACAAATACCGGACAATTATATACTAGTGTCTTTTAATTTGAAATCACTGTTCATAAGTATTCCACTTAATCTGGCACTTGTACAAAAACCCTCATTACAAACACTTAGGACGTACTGCCATTACTAGCCTCTTGTATGTTGAACGGGGACTTAATTCTAAGTCCTGCTGGACCGAGACAATGACAATACACAATTGACACCCACACATTTCCTGCACACACAATACAATGACGTAAGAACCAGATAACAAATACGGCCAACCTGACGTTTACTCCTCATTTAACTCTGAAGATGACTACCGCTAAGGTTGTCGAAATGTCAGTCAACAAAAACAAAAACAGTCCTTCTCAGGACTATACTAACCTGGACGATCTACATTTACAAACATGAAAGAATGAAAGTTTCACAAAATTTGATGAAGAATAAGTCCGCCCGCGAAGGTGCATAGACTTGGGGCATTTTCTGTTTTAACTTAAAGCATGCATCTATAGATGCAGATCTAGGATTTTTGAAACGTGAGTCAACCCGGCGTTCGCCATATAGGGTGGTCCTGGAGCATGCTTCTCTGAAAATTTTGATTTCTAGGATCTCGGAAATGCAATTTCCAGCATTTTAGACCTATTGGTAATCATATTTTGCAGGCATGGTTTTTGCGTAAAAATAATATTGTCATAGCCTTGTTAAATGTTATGGTGAAATGTTTTGCCCAAGGTCAAGGCTCATCAGCATGCCTAGGAGCTTTAAGCTTCAAAAAAGGCGGAATTAGCAGAATTTTTTGTCACAACAATCATGATGTTCTTAGTGAGTAATTATAATAAAGAAACCAGGCAATTTTTGCCCCTGTGAATCTATTCCTGTTTTTGTACACGAGTGACTTTTACACGCACAGTTAACATTAGTGTGATTTAGAGGTTACGAATCTGCGCAGAGGACTTAGGCTTCACCAAATTGTCTGAAACTTCCATACTTTGTAAACCAACGAACGACAAGCCTTTATCCAATGAGATCACTTGACTTTGAACGCCTCATTGTGCTGACCTTAAATATTCAGTGCCTGCATTCCGCTCTTCCATTTTTCTTCTTTGAATATTCCTTGTTTGATTCAAAGTAGGATGCTAAAGTATTCATGCTGGCACAAATCTCCAAGACATTTGGCTAAATTATAGTTTATTAAGCACTGCAATTTTGCAACCATGTTTAGAGACGTAGTTGTAAAAGAAGTTACTTGTGTCATTGCGAATAGTAGAGTTCTCAAAAATAACATTAACGTTATAGTTACATATGTTCAATATTGCTTGTATGCATTTTGGTATACTTAATGCTTTGAAGGAAATTTTTGATATTTTCTACCATTTACGATGGTGTCAACGACGTTTTTTCGATATGGTTGCACGGAAATTGAACGTAAGCGTAACAACTTTGTAAGTTAAGGAGTCACGTACCATCGCGGAAATTCGGTCGTATAATGTAAATTTTAAATTATTATTTATGTTTTTAGAAATCTATAATGTTCTTACAGTGAATCAACACCGACATATTTACATAGCCTAATCAAACTTGTGTGATGGTTAAGCCATTGAAATTAAGCTATGTCATTTTAACTGGGTTTTTTTTGAAATAAAATAAGCGACTTGTATGTTACTGCGAGGTAGCATCTGTTCATAAATTAGTTTCCTTCAGATATGAAGTATATATTCTTTGATGTCAAATAAAGTATAGAAAATGCAAACTTACTTCGTTGAAACTCCTTTATAGATGTTAAACGCAATATTTAATTTGAATTTTTTTGTGTATTTTGATTATAGGAGCATGCTAAGGTTGATTATAACCATGAAGCAAAGAGGTATTTTGTAAAAGACCTTGGGAGTCAAAACGGAACATACATCAATGGCAACAGAATCAGCGAGGTACTAGCATACAGTGCATTGACGTTGAGGGTATTTGCATAGAAAACGCTTAATATTTGAAATGAACACGTGAGATCTTTCATACTTAGACTATAGCCATGAAGATCTTGCGTTTAATTAGTTATTTTCCATAGCTTTGAAATGATTTGTTTTTTCATAGTGCAGGTCGGAAACTAAATGCAATGCAAATTTTGGTGTTCGAATCGTTGGCATCTTGTATTGTCATTTGTCAGTTTGAAAATTTTAAGCAAAACCATATCGTTACTCACTAGTACATCTAATGAACTATTACATTTTTATTATCATGCTCTCTTGTATAGAGTCCATTCTTATACTGATTGCTGTCATTGCCTACAATATATTTGCTCTTAACTACACAAATATTGGCTTTCTAAGTCAAAAGTGATTTCTTTTTAGTGCAAGAAAGAGAGCGAGGGAGTTGAAATGAATCATGGAGATCATTTAAAAATTGGTTCAACTACATTTCTTGTTCACATACATCAGGGAAATGAAACATGCGATGATTGCGAGCCAGGCCAGGTTATGGCCCAACTTAAGGCCAAAGAATCCGAGGATGAAGGTATTATGGATCAAGATTTGCTGGTAATCCCCCTGAACTGTGCTGTTTTATTGTTTCTTTAAGAACGGAAAGTGTCTACAAAGGCATTGGTGTAGCCAGCCTGCAAATTAGGTCTTGCAGTGCAATTTTTCTGTGTTCACTCACTGTAAAAACATTATAGATTTCTAAAGAAATGGAGAACCAATACTTGCAGGCTGGCTACAAAACAAAACAAGTGCAGTAAGGTGCAACAAGCTCAGTGATTATTTTGGTAACACTTTTCCCGTTCATTTTTCCTTAATTTCAAGTTTGCGAAATCTTTTAGTGTGAAAGGAAACAAGTAGCCAAAGCAGTGTTTCTGAAAATAGTCTTTCATTAAATCTATCATTCTTTAGGACAACGTTTACACTACGCCGGAGCCAAAAAATGACGGCAAAATTTGACTGCATGCCTTTACAGTGATCCGTTTAAATTCTGCAACAGTTTTACCGGTGTTTAAACATAATGTCCCTCGCTCTCAAAATTCGTCAGTTGTTTGTGAAAGATGGCGCCATTTCTTATTTGCATATTGCTAGATGTTTATATTTCTAGCCATAGTTTATAAAAAACGATGATTTGTAATAATTACAACGGAGTCAGTCATTGAAGGCTTTCCCAAGCATAAGAAGATTACTATTTTCAATTATGCACCACAACGACGGGACGAATTAAAGAGAACTAGTATCTAAAGTGCAACGAAATATAAACGGTTGGCTGTTTACACGACAATGCGAAGCGTTTTCGTTCGACCACGTTTAGAAAGTGTGGTCGTATCGCTCTGGAAAAAGTGACGTTTTCAAACAATTCCACTCCGGTGCAGTATAAACGCAGCCCGCTTCTATTACTTTTTGCAACGTTTTCAGACCTATCCGGAGTAGTGTAAAAGTAGTCTAAAGCTCATTGTACACGACCGCTATTGTTTGTGCTAAACATCCAATTTGGTAAACGTCCAAATCCTTCTTCCATTTTGCCCCACCTTAAATGTGCAGTTTGCACTGCAACATCCAATTACTTTAAAATATATTTTTGTTTCTCAAACACTCAAGAACTTCTTATCAATGTGAGCCTCTCAATTAAAAAAATAAGACCCTCTCTTTATGTCTAAGGAATTTCCATTTCCCTTCAGTTATTGTAGTCTTATTTTGTCTGTTGTTATGTTTGTATAACTTATGGTTGTATTTTTAAACGGTACCTTCTTTATCATGTGACTGTCATGTCTTTGATTTAACTGTCTAATTAAATTTGCTATAAATACTTGTAAGGAACGTGTAAATATTCCACACTTCTTTCAATTTAATATTGTCTGATGACGTCTCGCAGGTTAATGCGAAACGTTACGCTTTTTAATTAGTACTTATATTTAAATCCCCTGAAGAGTGAGAAATCACGAAACAGGCTTGTCCGGATGAATCTGTAGTTTTCGTGATTTTTTTTCAACATCACTACATATATTTACGCCCTGCTCTCGGGCATTGAGCACTGTTTTATACGGAGAATCATAACTTATCAACTTCCTATATATAAAAATATAACCGTACGTCCTGTGTCCCAAGTTCAGGAGTTGCCATTGCACTGTGGTGATAGACGGGAGGGCACATTGTATATACACATTGTATATATACATTGTATATAGTGTAAGGTCGATGGGAAGAATTCTTTAGATTGAACGTGATGTCGAGGAAGTTAATGACTTTTTTGTTAGCTTCGATAGTGATACGCAATCCGTTACTGTTAAACACGCGGCATATCTCTTTTTTAATTTTTTCTGTATTTTTAGGTGTTGCTTTAGTAATGGCTAGTCCGTCGTCGCGATAGAGTCCTATGTTAGTGTACAACGACCTCCTACAACAAAATATCACGAAATCATACAAGAAAATAAACGTCGACGCAATACAAGCCATCCACACCGAAGACAAAAATATCACATCACAACTGGGTATATCTGACAGAGTAGACTCCACCGCTAACAAAGACGCATTCATAACACTCAAAGATCACAAACCGAACTTCGCAAATAAACCCACCTGCCGACTAATCAACCCGACGAAATCTAAAATTGGAAAAATTAGCAAAAAAGTACTTGACAGAATAAACAACAATATCATAAAAGCCACTTCGTTGAACCAATGGAAAAACTCGTCATCTGTCATCAAGTGGTTCAACTCCATCAAACACAAACAAAATCTCAACTTCGTATCTTTCGACATTGTAGACTTCTACCCGTCTATGAACCAAGACCTCTTAAACAAAGCACTTGATTTCGCCTCAACCCACGACATCATCACAAACCAAGAGAGAAACATCATCATACATGCCAAGTATTCATACCTCATTCACAACCAACAACCATGGCAAAAGAAACACAACTCCATATTCGACGTGACAATGGGCAGCTTCGACGGCGCCGAGATATGCGAACTTGTAGGAAGCTATCTCCTCTCACAATTACAACACATCATCACTAACATAGGACTTTATCGCGACGACGGACTAGCCATTACTAAAGCAACACCTAAAGAAACAGCAAAATTAAAAAGTGATATGCCGCGTGTTTAACAATAACGGATTGCGTATCACTATCGAAGCTAACAAAAAAGTCATTAACTTCCTCGACATCACGTTCAATCTAAAGAATTCTTCCCATCGACCTTACTACACTAAGCCCAACACCTCTTTGCAATACATCCACCACGAAAGCAACCATCCTCCAAGCATTACAAAGAACATACCCGATACCATTAACAAACGCCTTTCATCCTTATCATCCGACGGAGCATCATTCGACGAAGCAATTCCTCCATACCAAAAGCACTTGACGAAAACGGATATCATTACACACTGAAATATGACCCAAACGCTACTACGAAACGGAAAAACAGACTTAGAAATAACATACTCTGGTACAACCCATCATACAGCAAGAACGTCAGCACAAACATTGGCTACAAATTCATTTCACTAATTGACAAACACTTTCCCATAGACCACAAACTCAGAAAACTATTTAACCGCAACACAATTAAACTAAGTTACAGCTGCATGAACAATATGGAACATATTATTAATAACCATAACAAACGCATATTGAGAGAACCTGACAATACTAATGACACCATCAATGACAAAAATACACAAACTAAAACATGCAACTGCCGACAGAAACAAAACTGCCCACTTAACGGAAACTGCCTACAATCATCTGTCATCTACTAAGCAACTGTTAAACGTTTGGATACTAACACAACTGAGACCTACATCGGACTTACAGAAAACGAATTTAATACTCGACACAGGAACCACACTGCCTCTTTTCGCCACAAAAAACTAAGAAACTCCACCGAACTCAGCAAACACATATGGACACTAAAAGACAACAACATCGCTCACAATATCTCATGGAACATCATCACTCACAGCAAACCGTACAACAGCGCCAACAAAAGATGCAACCTATGCCTAAAATTCTTTATCACCTATCAACCACAACTATCATCACTCAACAAACGTAACGAACTTATCTCCTCTTGTCGCCATAGACACAAGTCACTTTTAACCAATTTGTAATCGTACACTCAACATATGTAATTCTATCTTAATTTTTACTCTAACTTGCTCTTGTATATATAACCTAGCACATGCTTTTGTATTCATTTAATATTATCCCCTGAAGAGTGAGAAATCACGAAACAGGCTTGTCGGGATGAAATTGTAGTCTCTGTGTATTTTCTTCTTATCAATATTTACGCTCTGCTCTTAAGCATCGAGCACGGTACTTACGGAGATTCAAATAAACAAAACTTCCTATATATAAATATTGATAAGAAGAAGACAATACACAAAAACTACAGTTTCATCCCGACAAGCCTGTTTCGTGATTTCTCACTCTTCAGGGGATAATATTAAATGAATACAAAAGCATGTGCTAGATTATATATACAAGAGGAAGTTAGGGTAAAAATTAATATAGAATTACATAATGTATATATATATATATATAAATAAATTAATTTTTAATAAATAAATTTTTGTACCGGCGGGTCATCCCCATCCTGACACACAAATATTCGTTTGGGCGGTACCAGGAACAGAGAGCACCAACAACGAAGGGGATCACTTGGCATTGCCTGCCCGATTCGATGAAATGGCGCTTGAGAGGCTCATATTATATATATATATATATAGGAAGTTTATAATTTATGATTTTCCGTATAAAACAGTGCTCGATGCCCGAGAGCAGAGCGTAAATATGTGTAGTGGTGTAGAGAAAAATCACAGAACTACAGATTCATCCCGACAAGCCTGTTAGACCCTGAAGAGTGAGCAATCACGAAACAGGCTTGTCGGGATGAATCTGTAGTTCTGTGATTTTTCTCACACCACTACACACACACACACATATATATATATATATATATATATATATATATATATATATATATATATATATATATATATATATTTGTCTTCGATGGCTCTTTTAAAAGCACTCTGCTGGGGTTTATTTTTATCATGAGAACTATACCTCCAATATTTGTGGCAATGATTCATTTTCACATTAAGCCGGTTACTGGCAGTATTGTTTGGGCCATTTTCTTGATGAGGAGGAGAACAATCACCAAGGAACGCTCTCACTCACAGTCATGCAATTTCTTTCTTTTATCTACAATCAGCCACTTCGAAAATTTCAATATAACTACAAGGGTTTCAACATTTTAATCCGTAAAGGTTTTGACCTTTTTCCTGTTGCAATGTATTTTGTGAAATGTTTACATGATGACATGGTTTTTTCATTTCATTTAGTCTTAATCACCCGAATTGTTTCATCAGTTGAGATTGAAAATCCAGAAGCTAAGAGAAAAAAGGAACTGAAGAGACTAAAGAAACGATATATGCTAGAGGTAATGCTCTTTTTCTGCTCAACACTACTGCACCACCTTGAATTCGTATGTTTTTGCAACCCTACATCAGTAACATAGATTTTTCAATCTTTTCTTTCTTTAAGTCATTTTGCTGTCTATCAATTCCATGGCATTGTCTATAGTTCTGTTTAATAATTATTCTGTCAGACTAGTTCCTTCACCCATGCAACATAGATCTATAGACACTAATTTAATTTATATGATAGAACAGTGAACATGAAGTCAATTTTGAGATCGCATCCAATACTCGTGGAAAGTATAAAGACAGAGCTGAGACAAGGTAGTAACCTAATTTATAAAGTAAGAAGAGCAAAAACAAACGCGTTTTGCCTAAATTGACTTGGAGTGCATTTCTGGCCGCGTTAACGAGAACTTAAATCAAGATTGGTGATTATTCTAAACTTTTATAGCCAATAACCTCGCTGTATTTCTATGTTTTCGTGGTTTTGACTTCGTTATTTACTAAATTTCTGGTTTCCTGTGCTAGGGAAAATTTAGCTTTTATATTTCTGGTTATTTAAATAAAGCTTACAACACCAACCCTTTGTTGCTATTTTGTAAAACAATTGCGAAACGGTTTAAAGCGCTTTTTTTAACTCTCGCTTAGTTCCCGCGTGTTTGGATTTGGCCATCTAAACACGGAAACTGTTTACATAATTGGAAATTAAACGAGACTTACCTTAAGGCGAAGTTTGATTCTAATCTATTAGTCATTACTCATTAGCGTGGAGTGGAGGAGCTGTCGGAGAGATAGCACTGCGCATGAATTAACCAGTATTTAGAGCATAAATATTGGTACAATGGCTTGAGTGGAGGAGAGGGGACCGTGAAACATATGCGTGGGCCTACAATTCCTCCACTCCTCGCTGATGACTAATAGAATTACAATAAAACTTCGACTGAATAAGGTCTCGTTTAATTTCCAATTCTATTACGTCATTAGCTCTAGTCGTTACGTAGTTGTTGGAGACTTCAGAGCCGACATTGAACCAATATTTGGAATGACTAACAAACAAACAAGTGATCATAAAATCACCTAGGAAACCACCATAATTAAAAGATGAATAAGTCAGAAAATTATATTCAGACAGTCATTAGGTCAAGGTCTCTAAAACAGCGTTCGCAATCATGTGTATTGAAATGATAAAACCGATGAAAAGTTTGTTTTTTTGACCAATCCCGTCGAATTTTGCATGTGGCACACATTATATCTTTTATCTCAATGATTTTTGAGGCAAGATGAGAAGTTGAAGCGGCCCTTGCACTTATGACTTGTATAGATAGATGTGTCAATACCAGCATCTGTCATAAAACAGTTAACCCAATGTGACGTAATTTCAGTGGAAATAGGTCGGTATGGCTTTATAAAACTGAGAAGAGGTTATTTATATTCACCAAAACATGAGTGACTACACATAATCTTCTATCGGCGGAGTAGGCTGTAAATGTTGATGGTTGTTGATGATTACCAGGCCTCGAATGTTTGAATTTTTCTGTTACAACAAAGGTAACCTTGGAGTCTTCAATTACCATATGATCAATAGATAATTTATTAATCGTTTGGCATCCTGGGCCACTTAAGAGTGACAGGAGGAAAGCAAGCCTGTGAGACAGTTCTTTGAGGGAGAGTGATAACCCAGTTTCCTGGGGGCGGAGATGATTAAATACAACGTTAACATCCCATGTCGAGCAATATTTTGGTAACGATGGCCGAGTTTCGTATATACCTTTCATAAATCGTTTGACAATTGGCAACTGTCCGAATGGCGTAGTGTTACTTTCCCATGTGAGAATTGAAGATAAAGCATTTCTGGCCGTATTGATTGAACTATATGATAGTCCTGACTTGTATAAGTTTGATAGAAAAGTGAGAGCCGTGGGCAAAGTAGGGGATACGATAACGCAATCATTCGTAAGACAAAATTCCAACCATTTTTTTGCTGTTGACTGGTATTGCGTTCTTTTGCCATCACGCCATGAGTTAAGAATAATTTCTATTGTCTTTGAAAAGAACCCTTTTATTTGTAGTTTACCCCCGTATACAAGACAGATAAGAATGTTCACTTTCTTGTGTAATGGGTGTTTGAGATTGGGTCGAGAGGGCAGAATCAGTAAGTCGGTTTCCAGTGGTAAACGTTGATGCGGTTTCTCTAATATTTGTACTAACAATGGGTACCAACTCTGAGTTGGCCAGACCGGAACAACTAAAATTCCCCTGGCCTTCTCTTCTAATATCTTGCGGATAGCGTGCAGTATGCAGCTGAATGGGGGAAAACAATAGGAATTTTTATTTTATCAGTTTATAGTGAAAGCATCCATATGATGTTTGTAAAGGTCTGGTCTATAAGAAACGTAGCGATCGAATTGATGATTTAAGCGAGATGCAAACAGATCAATTGTCTGAATTGAGGGTGGAATGGTTGTCGAAATTGTTGTTGCTGGAGAGAAAAGTGACCCAAAGTGTATTCGACACATGCAAAATTTCGTTGCATAGTGCGACCAAACCGGTCGAATTTAAAGTTAAGGTCGACCTCAATTAAAGCAGTCGAATTTAATTGTTTCATACGCTGAATTTTGCGTTCACTGAATTCAAACTAATTTATTCGACACATGCAAAGTACGACGATTAAATTTCGACGTATTGAATCTCGACGCTTGTATGATAGCTCTAAGTTTACATGTCCTAATAAGGTAACGTCATCAAAGAACCTAGTCGTAAGTTTGGTAAAGATCGTCTCTCTACATTTTAATAAGTCATTGATAGTAACTGAGAGAGAACTTGCCACATGCACAATAGAATCTTGGAGAACTGCGGTGCGCAAATCTCGCTGACGATGGAAAGTTTTAAGGCTTGACCATATAGGCTCATTGACCTGGGGCACGGTACGTTTGTCGCAATTTTGCGGTGGCTTAGATCTTTCAATTATTTTTCTGCGTTCTTCTAGCCCAATATTTGAAAAAAAACTTTCATTTGTAGTTTGAGTGATTTTGAGATGAATCGCCTGGCCGCATGCATCGGAAGGTCTTAAAAAAACGTCAATTTATTGCAAAAACTCATCATTATTTGAATCAATATTATCAAAATCATTTCCACCAAACAAACTGACAACATCGTCATTATTATGCAGCATATCAGTGGCGTCAGTGGCTGAATTATCTAAAACTTCTTCAGAGATTGGCGCACTTGCTTCCTCTTAATTTGGTGCCTTACCTTTTTGTGAGGCTGGCATTATTGAGTCTTCTGACTCGAGGTTACTAGAAATATTTCTGATTTGGTGCAAAGGTTGTAAAGCACTAAGTAATTTATTCGTTTCTGCCATGGATTTTGTAATGCAGAGAACATAATAGTTAAAGAAGAGCTTTCAGTTGGAGACGCGATTGGTTGGGCGTCAAGAGTAAGCTTTCATGCGCAGTGCTCTCTCTCCTACAACTACATAACGACGATAGCTAATGACGTAATAAAATAGAGATAGGAAAAGGAGGTTGTCATGACTTCAACAGCAACATAGTTAATAAATTGTGAGTTTGATTCGAGTTAGCTTTGTTCAAACCAAACCACCTTGTTAAAGTTTGAAAATGTTGTTCCTTTCAACGATGTTGAGTCCTTCTACTTAACACTTTGAATGAATTTGAAAAATACTATTTTTGTATCAAGTACAATCTAATGGTGCAATTGTTAAAAAAATGTTAGCTTTGCGATTATTTCTTTTTTCTAGTTACTTTCTGGCGTTTTGATGTCATATTTAGTTTATTTTACGCATATCAAATTTTGAAACATGTATTTTATGTATTAAAGGAGGCAGAAAGTTGGTAGTGAAACTCCTGACAGCAATATTACTGAATCGCCTTCTTCAATTTTACAGTAAGTTTTCGAACGTACTCGGAATTTGTGTTCTATCTTTCGAAAAACTATGATAACATTGTTTATGGTAAATTGGTAATCTATTTATATTTAGTAGAATAATACTAGTTTTCTATTGTTAATGCGTTAGTTTGACTGGCTACTCTACTTACTGTTTGATTTTCAATTAGTTGCGCGTAACAAAGCTGCCGACCTTGTCGTGCCGCTACTTACTTAGGTTTCTAACAATAAATTATATTGTTTACTTCAAAAAAAAATTCAATTAAAACAAGTTAAATAATGAAAAATGCATTGAGCAGGTGTCAACTACAATAAATGCGTAAAACAACAAATGAAAGAAAAATATAGCAACCTTTTTCTTTATGAAGACTAAATTAGTAGTATGATTCTGCTAAAACAAATAGAGTACTCGCTCTAGATTTTCTGATAGGATAGTTAATTTGAGCTTCGCCCTTATCAATTTTACCTCATAAAAATCTCCAGCTGGTAATGTAATTGTTAACTGAAATTGATGCATTGTGCCAGTCCTAAGGAAAAACAATTCTCTACAGTTGAAATCTTTGTTGCAGGCCAATTGAAGCCGAGAACAAGGGAAGAATGATGTTGAAGAAAATGGGCTGGGTAGATGGAAAGGGACTGGGAAAAAAAGAGACTGGCATAAAGGAACCTGTAAGTATAACATTCACTTTTTATCGCTTAAATCATTAGTGATGGAGTATATTTCGCTCATATATGTAAATCAAAAGTCACATACATCACCTATTTTTTTAACTGACACCGCCATACTGTGCAATATGACAGTAATACTGACATTTCCGGTTAACTGATAGTTCACTGTAATTGTTAAAATCAGTGCCACGCTTGTACAAATAACGCCCACTAATTACCTACGCACATTTATAGCGTTAACATAAATAAACCATACAAGTCAATACAATTTCGATAGAGTTTTCTTAGAATGGGGTTGGTAAACAAAGTATGAAGAGTGATCAATATTAAATAATCTTCAATTATCCTTAAAGTGCCCATAACCCCAAAACATTTTTTTGCAAAATGAAATCTAGGCATTATTTCTAGTATTTTCGCGAAAGCAGAAATTAATTTTGTCAAATCGTTAATTTTTATCGTGATTTATACTTAGCATTTGATGGCTCACGGACGTCGTATTTTGCAACGGCAAATAGACTGACTCGACTTATTCTAATGTAAGCCGTTGTCTATAGTCAGTACTGTAAGTAATGCATTTTGCCGAGTCCCAGTCAATGTTGTGCTTTGTGATTCGGTGATGTTCGGCAATGTGATTAGTTTGACAACATGCACTACCTTTTTGGATCCGCTACGTAGATGACACAATCACAGCACTACATGCAGACGAGATTGATGACTTTCACACTCACATCAACAAACAGAACAGCCACATACAATTTACCAAAGATGTCGAAGAAAACGGAATTCTTCCTTTTCTCGACTGTTTGGTAAAACATGACAATCAAAAACTACGAACAACAGTTTATCGCAAGCCAACACATACTGACCGACTACTAGACCAATCATCTTACAACCCTACATCACACAAAGCCACCACAATCAGAACATTAACAAGACGTGCACAAATCATATGTGATTCACCGGACGCTTTACACAACGATACAACTATGTCAAACGTGTTTTTGACAAAAACAACTATAACTCTGACTTTATCAAACGCAACACTTACAAACCCAACGAACCCAACGAAACGAACAACTCAGTGACAACAGCAACGATACCATACATCAAAGGTACGTCAGAGACTATCTCGCGTATCTTACGACCATACAACATACGTGTCGCAGATAAACCAATCACAACGTTACGACAAGTACTAACGAACATAAAGGACAAAGAACAACCCAACGAACGACAAGGTGCAGTTTACAAAATAAACTGCTCCGACTGCCACGCCTCCTATATCGGGGAAACTGGCAGGAACTTAAACATAAGACTTACTGAAAACAAACGAGACTTACTGAAGACAAAACTAATCACATTGCCGAACATCACCGAATCGCAAAGCACAACATTGACTGGGACTCGGCAAAATGCATTACTTACAGTACTGACTATAGACAACGGCTTACATTAGAAAGTTGGTATACCAACTTGGAACAAACCCCCCTGAACAGATCACAGCAATTACCGACGATCAACTAAAAACATTACACTTCACACTAATTAACAATGACAATACACAATTGACACCCACACATTACAACTAAAAACATCACACCTAAATCACACATCACAACTAAAAATAAAAATATTTCACTTCACACTAATTCAAAATGACAATTCACATTTCCTGTACAACACAATACAATGACGAAAGAACCAGATATCAAATACGCCTAACCTGACGTTTACTCCTCAAGATGACTACCGCTAAGGTTGTCGAAACGTCAGTCAACAACAACAAAAACAGTCCTTCTCAGGACTATACCAACCTGGACGATCTACTTTTATCACGAATGGTGAACAGCATTAAAATTAAAGAAAAACAAGAACAATCTTTTTTGATTTCATTTATCAATGCCTTTGCAATTTGTTGAGACATTATTCGTAAGCGAATTCAAAGTAAATCTAAGGAAAATGATAAAAACTGGTGGACATTTGATTTCTTCAGTAATTTTACTCGCGAGTTTATTACGCTTCCGTCCGAAAGAAAAAGACAACGTAAGATATGAACCTAGTTCTTTCGTAAGAGAAATTGTATTTCATAATGTTAAGACAGAAAGGGTGGAAAAACTAGTTTCTTTCAATGAACAATTTATTTGTGCTATTGTATGTTTATGCGAATTGGGTGATTGTTTTGAAGCATTTGAATTGTGTCTATCACTTCTATAAAAAGCGAAACATGACAAAAGTGCATTAAAAACGTGAATTATACGTTTAGGACGTCAACCGTATGTTGAAAATGCTATACTATGTTCGAGAATTGTCTTCATATAATGGTCGAGAATTTCTTAACATGGGTTGAGATTTTCATACGATTGTCAAGATTTTCATAATATGTGTCGAGATTTTCATACTATGATCGAGATTTTCATACTATGATCGAGAATCTCAGACAGCAATACTACTCGTCAGCGTTACTTCCTCGGTCCATTTGATCCACTGATTTGATCCCATTGAAAAAATGTCAGCTGTGAATTAACTATGAGAATTCTTTACTAATTTGACTAAATTATTTTATCGAAGTCTTGTTGATTTCCGAAATAAAGATACTGTATGTGCCGAAGTGACAAAAAGCAAGCTTGAGGATTACCTTTCTATTATATTAGCCATTTCTGGAGCTTTGACAACTCAACTTATTAAAAAGCCTGGCTAATGGAATCGATATAGAGCTGGAAAAGCTAAATCAAACTGTGCATGAAAAGTCACTCAGATTTTATCACAGCTACATTTTCCACTAAACTGTCCATACAATCAAGTACAGGAGGTAGGCCAGCGTTCAACATTAGCATAGACCAAATTGAAAGTATGAGAGAGACTAGTATGCTATTTTTTTATATTTTTCATCAAGTATGCATCTGGAAAAATTACCTGCGATTTGGACGCCTAGCGTTCGCGTATGCATCACCAAAATTTCTGAAATTCCTGAAACATGTACCTTATTTTAACCCTCTTTGTTTCAAATGCCGTTTAGCTTTTTTGCGCGCAAGTTATTTCAACATAATTTTCGTCTTAGTTATTTGCAGCAATTTTACTGTCAGATGAACTATTGGACCTCCAACTGCCTATATCTACCAAAATTTTTTGAAAATCTTGCACCTTGATGAAAATAGCGACTTTTCGTTAATTGTTCAGTATTTTTGTATATCAATATCTCATTGTATCAAACGAGTATTGAAATTTATGCGCAGCAAAACGGTGAAATGAAAATCGTATGCTTAAAGCTACGTGCAAACGCGCTCAACATGTTCACTCACCATTGTAGACTCAGCATGTTAAGCGCATTTGTAAACCCTGTTGAGTAGTGTTGAGAGTAGTTGAGCGTTGTTGGGAGAAACTTGAACTTGTTCAAACATTCACTCAACAGCGCTCAACATATTTTTTCTTCCGCGCTTAACGATGCGTTTCTAAACATTGTTTAGTGCGTTTGCACAGCTCACTCTACAATGTTGAGCTAACGCATACGCACACTGAGGCATATATTATTGTAAAAAGGGCGTCACTGAACTGTATATATATGTAAAGTTCCCGCTGTTGCTAGGCATCGTGGAATATTTTATCTCATAGGCTCAACATCGCTCAACACGTTGAGACCGTTTGCACACTTCGCTAAACATCCCACAACAATAGTAAGACAATGTTGAGCAACATGTTGAGCGGGTTTGCACGTAGTATAAAATTTCCGAGCAACTGATTGAACGTACGGTTTTCCTCACTTGTGAAAAGTATCGTATCTGCATTCTGAATGGATACACAATATTTTTTACTAGTGAAAAATTACACATTGACTTTTATCGCCAATGGTGGACAGCATTAAAATTAAAGAAAACAAGAACAATTTTTTCTTATTTCATTCATCAATGGCTTTGCAATATGCCGAAACGATATCTGTAAGCGAATTCACAATAAATGTAAGGAAAATGATAAAAATACTGCCGGACATTAGATTTGTTCAGTAATTTTCATCGTCGAGACATGACTTTCAAAGCATGGAGAATACTCGTCAAGCAACTAAATGAATATCTAAGCTAGTTATTTACCCTTCCGTCCAAAAGAAAAAGACAACGTAAAGTACTAACCTAGTTCTTCTTGAGGAAATTCCTTTCCTAATGTTAAGGCAGAAACGGTGGAAAAACTAGTTTGTCCCATTGAAATATTTTTTGTGTTTTGTACTTTTTATGCAAATTAGGTGATTGTTTTGAAACATTTGAATTGTGTCTACACTTCAGCTGCAAATTTCACAATATCCTAAAATTCAATACTCGTATGATAAATCGTTTTTACAATTTTCATTTTGCACTCGTTGAGAAGAATTGTAAACAAACTCGTTTGCTACGCTCACTTGTTTGTTTTCAATCCTTCTGCGCATAAAAAATGCGAAAGCTACCGCGGAAAAAAATGTGCAAATAGAGTGCTCAATACCTATGACAAGCTGTTAAATTTGACGTAAAATACAAATTCGAGTACTACAATTTTTTTCAAACAAGTAATATTGCCATATGAAACAGACCTGCAGTGCATGAAGTTTAGATGATGCAATTCGTGTTTGTATTTTATTTATTTTTGTTATTTATATTGTTGAAAATGTTGCATTTGGTTAGGGCGTTCGCAGATTAATAATCGGGAGGGGAGCTAATATTCAAAAATATTTGTTCTACTACATTACTTTCCACTTAAATCAGTTGAGATTAAGGTCTGCAGCATATGCAGAAATAAATACGAGCTCCCCATTTGTAAATTTTCCGCGGTCCCTATTCTCTCACAAAATCACAACACAACAAAGTTTTATGCTCAATATGCAATCATCAATGACAAATGCATCGTTTAACGAAATAATTGCAATATTTAGAATAAATAAATATTATTTCTACTTCTTGTTTTTGAGCTTAAAAAATAGTGTTTTTTTCACTAGTACGTAATTTGTACTAGTATCACAAGCAAATTAGTAAACGATAATGTCAAATTGTTTGGTTGGTTTTCGGCAACAGTTATTTTTACTTTTGTTTTTTTCATAATTATTCTTTTGTCGACTTTTTCAATCTTATGGTATTTTCTATTTCTTAATTTACTGCATGGTAGTCTATCACCCAAAACGCAAGCAAGCTTATTCTGTAGTTAGTATTCTTCAAATTAAAAGGTGTTTTTTTTCTACGTTTCAGGTGTTGGCCACGATGCGTGAAGCTGGTCGTGGCTTGGGTTATGGTCCTGTCAAGTCTATCCACATGCCTCATAGCGAGAAAATTTTTCAAATGAACAAAATGCAGGACAGGTACAAATCTATTAGTGGAGGTCACCAACCCATGTCCTCACAGCAAGGATCGATAAATATGGACTGGAAAAAGAGAATTTTCAAACCTAAGACTGTTGACATCTTTGCTGATGATGACAGGTGAAAGTAATGGTAACACTCTCAATTATTGTGAATAGTTCTCATGCGAATGTCAAAGGAATGTAAACATAAACAAGATTTTGTTGTACAAGCGATGTCATAGTTACGAACCATTGAAACCGTAGGATCAAGAAATTGGTCTTTGACAATTGTTATTGTTGTGCTCGTGGCAATCCTTAAAAAGACTAACTCAAACTATGAAAGTTTACTTGTTTTTCTTTTAAGAAAAGTCTTGCTGTTGTTGCTGCCACGCATCACACTATTCTTGACATGACTCGACTTATTCCCCACGCGACTTTTATACTGGGGAAATCTTGATTTGTGTCTGTCTGTTAACAATTCCGGGGGATTTTTACGGAATGAGTGGAGCGCACACTTACAGTTAAGTAGAACCTTTCGGAACTTCTGTAAGTTTCTGTTTGATTTTAAACGTCTGGAATCCGAATAAATATGTGACCCAAACAGCGTAATACCGTATATACTAAAATCGCCATAGTGATGACCGACATAAGTTATACACATCTCGTTTGGCGTAAAACACATGAAATGGATTCACTGTGCCGTATTTTATGGCCTCAAATCCCCGCCAAATTAATTGTTCGCGTTTTTAGTGCAACAATGTACTTTTTAATGTACATTTCAATGAATATTTCAACTCGATATTCAACATTTTACATTCTTGATCCAAAATTTAGTGTTTCTCAATTCGGTATGAATCGCAATAGAAATCTCTGTAAGTAAACGTCGTAGGGGTACCACATGGTCGTTAAGTGGAAATGTAGAGCAAGTACGCACTATTGATTGTGTTAATAATTATCTCAAACCTGGCCTCATTGCAATTGCTTGTGCGGTCGACGAAATGAAATTGTCATTGATATGTCAGACTACCGAGGCTAAAGAGCAAATAAAAATAAGCTGTCGTCTGATGATTGTGCAATTGTACAATCATCAGCCGTCGTCTGATGATTGTTTGTGCAATTTATTAATGCCTTCTATGACTTATGACTATTGCTTGAAGGCCATAAGTCATAAAATGAGCCATAAGTCATAAAATTCCCTTCCATGGTTAGTTTTGACTTTCATTGATGGCTTAACTCTGCCAACGAACACGAGGACTTGAGCCTCTCTGCAGTAACTAGTCAATAATGACTCAACGTATCCATCATGAAATAAGCTGTAGTCTTCACACGATTTGAAAGCTACGAGACCTTTTTTGTCATAATTAGACGAAGGGTAGACAAGATGGTTGCAACAAGGGAAGCGTTGTTGATGCATATGGTGTTTGCTTAGGAGGAACAGATGGAGGGTGCAATCATATTGCTACCGCAATGTACTCTTTAGATGACCTGCTGAACAGCAGAATTGAAGATAGTGTTACCAGTGGGTGTTGTCGATGAACCTCATACCCTTCCTGATACCAGTGCTTGTTAGATGAGAGATCTTTTAATAATGAGAAAGAAAAAAAGGTGCATTGCTGATCAAGCAAAGACTGGAGAGTCAAGAGTTAAAAATCTAGGAGTTACACTTTCTCCCAATTTTTTCACCATGACCCATGCATGTCTTCAGACCTAATTCCACGTAGCTCAGAACTATTAACATCAATTGTTAATAGAAGTATCGTAATGAAGAGCAAACCAGTTATATGCCATTATTAGCAAAGAAGTTTTATGCTGTTGAAGAAGTCCCTGAACAGCAAAATGTTAAGTTTTCACAACAGCATTATGATGGTCTTCAATGTGCAATACTAGAGCAAAAGCTCAAATCTTACATGAAAAAGAATAAACAGGCAAATGCACTGATCTTCAGCAAGAGCTTAGAATGTACAAATGAAGAAAGAAGTGCGATAAATTTGAGGACAAAAAAATTATGCCAGTGTAAACAGTGGTTTTTACACAAACGTGGATTTATTACCACTTCCATGGTTAAAAGTGTCTATACAAGACAGCTTTCTACTAAGAAACATGCTACAGATATTTTACGCCTGGTGAAGTCATTGACCAGTAACAAGGCTTCACAACCTATCAACCTAAAGCATACTACAGAATTAAAGCACAAAAGCATCATCAACTGAGTTTGCTTTCACAGGGCTTCATGTTTTCCAAAGAAAAACCATTTTTGTATGCAAGTCCTGATAACATCACTGAATGTAAACAGGGGCGTATCTAGACTTGAAGTAATGGGGGATGTTGGAGAATATTTGCCCTGCCAAAGGGCGTTGCCCACAAAAACCCCTTAAATGATTATGGCTAGCAATAATCATTATAATCATTTCTATTATTGCATGCGTGGTTTATTAGTAAACCTTATTGAAGACTAGGTTTCTAACACATACATTATTACAAAACATGTTTTTGAAATATATACCTTAACCGTTTCGGACATAACAGTAAAGCAATGTATATTTGTTCTCATATCAAGATTCTTAAGTGAGAATCATCTCAACGTACTCTTGAGGTGTTGCTTTTCACTTAAATTTTATTCTGAGTTTACGGTTTTTTCTGGCTGCCCAAGATTTTAGTACTACATCCAGATGAATTGTATCTGTTAAATCCTTCTCGGTTGAAAGGACAATGAGTTCTTCCAGCATTTCACCTTTCATTGTTGAGCGCAAATAGTTCTTGACAATTTTCATTTTGCTGAATGATCTTTTAATATCAGCCACACTTACTGGAGCAGTAAACAGAAGTTTGTAGCATTTATAAACGTTTGGGAAAATTTCTTTATTTTTGAAAGCAGTGTTTCCGGCGTCGTGGACTGTCTTACATTCTTCTTTTGTCTCATTTACAAAGTTAACAAAAATTCCAAGTTCTGCATACAGTGACATACAATCTACTCTAATTGATGGAGGAAAAGTTCGGTGACCTTTTCAACTTGTTCAAAATTTGGTTTAGTCAATGGAGGCTGAAGGATAACAGCTAACGGTTTTATTTTGGCAAACAACTTTTTATGTTATCTCTATATTCTCTGATGAGGGAATCGAGGACCTCAATCACGCATTTTCGGTAGTTAGTTTTTAGTGACATAATTGCAAAAGTCTCAGGGTTGTCATCTAAACGTCTGCTTGATCTTTTATTACTCTTTCTAGCAAACTCTTCCACGAGATCGGAGCCTAGAATCTTCGCAAACTCAATATCTATTTGATCATTCAATTTGGATTCAGTGTTCCGTATTCTTTCCAGTGATCTAACAGTTTCATCAATCAGTTGAAGACCATCAAGGATATTGAGCTCTGGCCTCTGCTTCTGTACTGTCAGGATCTTGGTCTTTCTCATGATAAACCTCATGAGCATAACTGCAAAAACAAACTAAAACTTGACCATTTTCTTACAGAGTGAGGTTGCTGGGTTCTGGAATGAGTTGTCAATTTTTGCTATGTCCGCTAAGGCATTTCGTATGGCTTCAAATGATGTCCATACTTCTTCAATTGATTCACTTCTATACACCCATCTCGTCTTTGAGAGATTGCGCAATTTAAGAGCATTTTCAATTTTTTTCATATGTTCTTACAACATAGAATCTCGTTTGCAACTTCTGCTGAAAAAAACATACAGATCTTCGAGCAAGCTATACATCTCAACAAATGTAGAGGCCTTTGAGCAATGCTCATTGAAATTGTTTGATCTAAAAACATAAAATTGAAAAACTATTCAACGCAGAGACTAGTCTTAAAAATACTTAAAAAGATATAGTTAATGCCTAAGTAATTTGTACGGTAATGTTTAATGCTGTGCATTTGACACATACCTATGGCCTTGACATGGGATGTATGGAATGTTGCGTCCAACCATTTCCTGCAAATGTTGTTGAACTCCATTAAAAGTTCCAGACATTGAAGCTGTGTAGTTGTAAGAATGATACACTAACCCATAGTGACAAATAGGTAATCGTGATTTAAGGGAATGAAGAATCTCTTTTGCTTGGCCTTCACCTGTTTTATTAATTGTCTCTTTCATCTCCAGTATTCTCTCGTTCGGCACGTTGTTTTCGTGAAAGTAACGCACTGCCACTACGAGGCGGTCCGTATTTGAAGTGTTTGGAGACGTGTCGGCCATGACTGAGTGTATTTCAGATGAAACGATATCTGTCACGATGCGATTCCTTACATCTTCAGTTAAAAGGCTAATAAACTCATTTTGTGAAATAGGTGATAGGTATCTTACTGAATAAGGTTTCATGTTCTTGTCTGACAGCCATGACTGAAGTCTAGGGTTATGCCTGGCAACAAGATTTGTTATTTGGATAAAGTTTCCCTCGTGCTTTTCATCGTGCCCTCTGAAAGCTAGCTGTTGTAGTGCTAATGTTCTTGCGATGTCTAAAAGGATCTTTATGGCTTCTTCGTTTCTCAAATTGTTTTCTTCTTGTATTCTTACTTCTCTTAACTTCTTTTCCAACATTACTTCGACGTTTTTCATATTGCAGGCAAAATGTGCCAAATCACTCAAAGCAATTTTGTGGGATTCGGAAGAGAAATGCTGTTGCATCTTTCCTTTTTCATCTTTACCCACGCTTCTCATCTAATCCCATGATCGAACAGTAACCCAGGCATCTTCCTGGTCCACTCGGAAAAATAGCACAAACAAAACAAGATGCATAGTCCGCCTTTATACTGTGCTCTAAATGGGGATATTCTTTGTACCAAATTGATAAAAACATACGTTGTTTGTGTTGCGCAATGTTACTGTTCTCAAGGTAATGATTGAGCTTTGGTTGGTATGGGCCATTCGAAATTATTTTTTTCTTCTGAAGATCAGTCGACAGTTTTGGACGGTAGGCGGGATCAAGCAGCGCCCAAGATCATTTTCTTCTTCCAAAACACCAATTTGAGATTTCTCAGTGCAAATAGCTTGGAGAATATCCTCACAATTGCTTTGTAAACGTATGGCCATGCTACTAATCTTCTTTACGTATTCAAGGACATGCATTACAATTTCTTGAGTAAACACTATTTCTGAGGACAACGTTTCAGTGGCAGTTTTTTTGCAGTGGTTAACATTTTCAACCAATATGTTTAATTCAGCTACGCAGGCTTCCCGTGACAGGTGAGATTTCTCTCCTTCTTCTTGTTCGTTAACAGATTCTTCCTCATCAACATATATACCATACTCAGATATTACAAACCACATCCATATTATGCTCTTCCTCTGAATCAACTTCATTTATATTATCTACTTCAAATATTTCATTGCATACATTGTGAACTTTTAATGCCACTTCCAGGTTTTCCTGCAAAGGTAGCATTTTTAACAAACCGTATTTAACGTTAGAAAACGTTGTCACGTCGGCTTTGTAAATCACTTTGGGTTTCAGGCCAACAACTGACAAAAACGTATATAGGTGTTACTGCATGCGCTTTTAAGACACGATATCGAAACCACACTAAATCAATTACGAACATTTAATACTGCAACGAGACAGAACTTTCTAAATACACGTGGACACAGAAAGAAAACAAACGTAACTACAACATTAAATGGGACTTCATCAAACAACTTCCACCTCCGAAGAAAAACCAAAAAACCTGCCGTCTTTGCCTTGAAGAAAGGCTACTTATCCTGAAAGAACGTAAAAAGAACATTTTAAATAAACGTTCCGATATGTTTAGTGCATGCCGTCATGTAACTTAACACCTTTTATTCGATGTATATAGTCCACAAATAATATATAATCTGTCAGTTGCCTGAAGATCACCCTAACGGCGTAAAACTCCGAGCAGCGACAGCAAACACTTGTCCATTTTATTTCATTTTATAAACTTCTACAAACTAGACAAGCCAGCATACAACGACCTCCTACAACAAAATATCACGAAATCATACAAGAAAATAAACGTTGACACAATACAAGCCATCCACGCCGAAGACAAAAATATCACATCACAACTGGGTATATTTGACAGAGTAGACTCCACCGCTAACAAAGACGCATTCATAACACTCAAAGATCACAAACCGAACTTCGCAAATAAACCCACGTGCCGACTAATCAACCCGACGAAATCTGAAATTGGAAAAATTAGTAAAAAAATACTTGACAGAATAAACAACAATATCATAAAAGCCACTTCGCTGAACCAATGGAAAAACTCGTCATCTGTCATCAAGTGGTTCAACTCCATCAAACACAAACAAAATCACAATTTCATATCTTTCGACATTGTAGACTTCTACCCGTCTATCAACCAAGACCTCTTAAACAAAGCACTTCAATTCGCCTCAACCCACGACAACATCACAAACCAAGAGAGAAACATTATCATACATGCCAAGAATTCATACCTCATTCACAACCAATAACCATGGCAAAAGAAATACAACTCCACATTCGACGTGACAATGGGCAGCTTCGACGGCGCCGAAACATGCGAACTTGTAGGAAGCTATCTACTCTCACAACTGCAACACATCATTACTAACATAGGACTCTATCGCGACGACGGACTAGCCATTACTAAAGCAACACCTAAAGAAACAGCAAAAATTAAAAAAGAGATATGCCGCGTATTTAACAACAACGGATTGCGTATCACTATCGAAGCTAACAAAAAAGTCATTAACTTCCTCGACATTACGTTCAATCTAAAGAATTCTTCCCATCGACCTTACACCAAGCCCAACACCTCTTTGCAATACATCCACCACGAAAGCAACCATCCTCCAAGCATTACAAAGAACATACCAGATACCATTAACAAACGCCTTTCATCCTTATCATCCAACGGAGCATCATTCGACCAAGCAATTCCTCCATACCAAAAAGCACTTGACGAAAATGGATATCATTACACGCTGAAATATGACCCAAACGCTACTACGAAACGGAAAAACAGACTTAGAAATAACATACTCTGGTACAACCCACCATACAGCAAGAACGTCAGCACAAACATCGGCTACAAATTCATTTCACTAATTGACAAGCACTTTCCCATAGACCACAAACTCAGAAAACTATTTAACCGCAACACAATTAAATTAAGTTACAGCTGCATGAACAATATGGAACATATTATTAATAACCATAACAAACGCATATTGAGAGAACCTGACAATACTAATGAACCATCAATGACAAAAATACACAAACTAAAACATGCAACTGCCGTCAAAAACAAAACTGCCCACTTAACGGAAACTGCCTACAATCATCTGTCATCTACCAAGCAACTGTTAAACGTTTAGACAATAACACAACTGAGACCTACATCGGACTTACAGAAAACGAATTTAAGACTCGACACAGGAACCATATTGCCTCTTTTCGCCACAAAAAACTAAGAAACTCCACCGAACTCAGCAAACACATATGGACACTAAAAGACAACAACATCGCTCACAATATCTCATGGAACATCATTACTCACAGCAAACCGTACAACAGCGCCAACAAAAGATGCAACCTATGCCTGAAAGAAAAATTCTTCATCACCTACCAACCACAACTATCATCACTCAACAAACGTAACGAACTTATCTCCTCTTGTCGCCATAGACACAAAGCACTTTTATGTAATTTGTAATCGTACACTCAATATATTATGTAATTCTATCTCAATTTTTAACCTAACTTCCTCTTGTATATATAATCTAGCACATGCTTTGTATTCATTCAATATTATCCCCTGAAGAGTGAGAAATCACGAAACAGGCTATTCGGGATGAAATTGTAGTTTTTGTGTATTTTCTTCTTCTCATCAATATTTACGCTCTGCTCTTAAGCATCGAGCACTGTACTTACGGAGATTCAAATAAACAAAACTTCCTATATATATATATATATATATATATATATATGATGAGAAAAGAAAATACACAAAACTACAATTTCATCCCGACAAGCCTGTTTCGTGATTTCTCACTCTTCAGGGGATAATATTAAATGAATACAAAGCATGTGCTAATATATATACAAGAGGAAGTTAGGTTAAATTGAGATAGAATTACATAATATATTGAGTGTTCGATTACAAATTACATAAAGTACTTTGTGTCTATGGCGACAAGAGGAAATAAGTTCGTTACGTTTGTTGAGTGATGATAGTTGTGGTTGGTAGGTGATGAAGAGTTTTTCTTTCAGGCATAGGTTGCATCTTTGTTGGCGCTGTTGTACGGTTTGCTGTGAGTGATGATGTTCCATGAGATATTGTGAGCGATGTTGTTGTCTTTAGTGTCCATATGTGTTTGCTGAGTTCGGTGGAGTTTCTTAGTTTTTTGTGGCGAAAAGAGGCAGTATGGTTTCTGTGTCGAGTCTTAAATTCGTTTTCTGTAAGTCCGATGTAGGTCTCAGTTGTGTTATTGTCTAAACGTTTAACAGTTGCTTGGTAGATGACAGATGATTGTAGGCAGTTTCCGTTAAGTGAGCAGTTTTGTTTTTGACGGCAGTTGCATGTTTTGTTTGTGTATTTTGTCATTGATGGTGTCATTAGTATTGTCAGGTTCTCTCAATATGCGTTTGTTATGGTTATTAATAATATGTTCCATATTGTTCATGCAGCTGTAACTTAATTTAATTGTGTTGCGGTTAAATAGTTTTCTGAGTTTGTGGTCTATGGGGAAGTGCTTGTCAATTAGTGAAATGAATTTGTAGCCGATGTTTGTGCTGACGTTCTTGCTGTATGGTGGGTTGTACCAGAGTATGTTATTTCTAAGTCTGTTTTTCCGTTTCGTAGTAGCGTTTGGGTCATATTTCAGCGTGTAATGATATCCATTAACTTCCTCGACATTACGTTCGACCTAAAGAATTCTTCCCATCGACCTTACACTAAGCCCAACACCTCTTTGCAATACATCCACCACGAAAGCAACCATCCTCCAAGCATTACAAAGAACATACCCGATACCATTAACAAACGCCTTTCATCCTTATCATCCGACAGAGCATCATTCGACCAAGCAATCCCTCCATACCAAAAAGCACTTGACGAAAATGGATATCATTACACGCTGAAATATGACCCAAACGCTACTACGAAACGGAAAAACAGACTTAGAAATAACATACTCTGGTACAACCCACCATACAGCAAGAACGTCAGCACAAACATCGGCTACAAATTCATTTCACTAATTGACAAGCACTTCCCCATAGACCACAAACTCAGAAAACTATTTAACCGCAACACAATTAAATTAAGTTACAGCTGCATGAACAATATGGAACATATTATTAATAACCATAACAAACGCATATTGAGAGAACCTGACAATACTAATGAACCATCAATGACAAAAATACACAAACTAAAACATGCAACTGCCGTCAAAAACAAAACTGCCCACTTAACGGAAACTGCCTACAATCATCTGTCATCTACCAAGCAACTGTTAAACGTTTAGACAATAACACAACTGAGACCTACATCGGACTTACAGAAAACGAATTTAAGACTCGACACAGGAACCATATTGCCTCTTTTCGCCACAAAAAACTAAGAAACTCCACCGAACTCAGCAAACACATATGGACACTAAAAGACAACAACATCGCTCACAATATCTCATGGAACATCATTACTCACAGCAAACCGTACAACAGCGCCAACAAAAGATGCAACCTATGCCTGAAAGAAAAACTCTTCATCACCTACCAACCACAACTATCATCACTCAACAAACGTAACGAACTTATTTCCTCTTGTCGCCATAGACACAAAGCACTTTTATGTAATTTGTAATCGAACACTCAATATATTATGTAATTCTATCTCAATTTTTAACCTAACTTCCTCTTGTATATATATCTAGCACATGCTTTGTATTCATTTAATATTATCCCCTGAAGAGTGAGAAATCACGAAACAGGCTTGTCGGGATGAAATTGTAGTTTTTGTGTATTTTCTTTTTCTCATCAATATTTACGCTCTGCTCTTAAGCATCGAGCACTGTGCTTACGGAGATTGAAATAAACAAAACTTCCTATATATATATATATATATATATATATATATAGTAAGGAGAAGAAAATACACAAAACTACAATTTCATCCCGACAAGCCTGTTTCGTGATTGCTCACTCTTCAGGGATTTAATGAATAAAATACTTAAATGCTTAAATATATATACAAGATGATGACGGAAGCTAGTGTATTAATCAAGGTGTATAGTTTCAAGTTAGATGACGGAAGTTAGAGTATTAATTACGGTGTATGGTTACAAATTACATAGGAGTGTTTTGGATCTATGGCGACAAGAGGAAATAAGTTCGTTGCGTTTATTGAGGGATGATTTGGATGGTTGGTACAGGATGAAGAATTTTTCTTTAAGGCGAAGGTTGCATCTTTTACTGGTGCTGTTGTATGGTTTGCTGTGTGTAATGATGTTCCATGAGATGTCGTGGTCGATATTGCTGTCTTTAAGGGTCCAAATGTGCTTACTGAGCTCGGTCGAGTTTCGTAGTTTTTTTGTGGCGGAAAGAGGCAGTGTGATTTCTATGTCTAGTCTTAAATTCGTTTTCTGTAAGTCCAATGTACGTCTCAGTTGTGTTATTGTCTTTGCGTTTTACAGTAGCTTGGTAAACAACGGATGACTGCAGGCAATTTCCGTTAAGTGGGCAGTTTTGTTTTTGTCGGCAATTGCATGTTTTTGTAAGTGTCTTTTTGTTCGCGGTGTTGTCGTTAGTTTTGTCTGATGTTCTCAGTATATGTTTGTTATGGTTGTTGATTATTTGTTCGATATTGTTCATGCAGCTGTAGCTGAGTTTGATGGTGTTACGGTTGAATATTTTCCTGAGTTTATGGTCTATGGGGAAGTGTTTGTCGATTAATGAAAGGAATTTGTGGCCGATGTTCGTGTAGACGTTTTTGCTGAATGGAGGGTTGTACCAAAGTATATTTTGTCGAAGTCTGTTTTTCCGTTTGGTAGTAGCGTCTGAGTCGAATTTTAGTGTGTATCGGTATCCGTTTTCGTCGAGTGCTTTTTGGTATGGTGCAGTTATTTGGTCAAATGATGCTTTGTCGGATGATAGTGAAGATAGACGTTTGTTGATGGCGTCGGGTATGTTCTTCGTTATGGTTGGTGGATGGTTGCTTTCGCTGTGGACGTATTGCAGAGAAGAGTTGGGTTTTGTGTAAGGGCGATATGAAAAATTGTTAAGATTGAAGGTGATGTCGAGGAAGTTGATGATTTTTTTGTTTGCTTCAATAGTTATGCGTAGTCCATTGTTGTTGAATATCCGGCATATTTCCTTTTTAATGTTCTCTGTTTCTCGTGGTGTGGTGTTTGAAATGGCAAGTCCGTCGTCTCGATAAAGTCCTTGGTCCTTGGACAAGACGACGGACTTGCCATTTCAAACACGCCGGATATTCAACAACAATGGACTACGGATATGGACTTAATATGGACTTAAACGGATATGGACTTAAACTGCCGGATATGGACTTAAACAGATAAATATAAGTTGCTTAATTTTGCCTCCAAAGTCGGGTACTATTTGCGAATTTTTTACGACGCCATATTGATACTTGTGACGTAGATAGTTGAACACGTCTGTTTCCGTCAATATAATATTATATTATAGAAGGTCATTTTGTTGTCGTTTTTCTTGTCTTAAAAACAAATAATGACAGTATTGTCAATAAAATATTAAAAAACAAGTTTTCCGGAAAGTATGGCCTCAAATCAGTGCTCAGATAATTCGAATTCGATGTCTGAATGCGTATCTGATTCGAGCTCGGAATCCGTGGGTTATGTCGAGCATTTAAACGACTTCGCATATGACGATGAACCGCTAGCAGGAGATGGTGATGAAGTGCATACTCCAGATGATCCCGATGGAATTCTCCCTGCGACATTAGAACAACGAAGTGATGGCGTAATTCCACTTGGTGAATGGTAAGTTGTTGTTTTCTCCTGTTTGTAATATACATAAAGTTACTTTATAAACCAGAATGCTCCCACGTTTCAGGTGTAATTGTCAATGCTGTCATACCGATTTGTTAGAAGGCGCATTAGAGTACAGATGCTGTAAGGAAATTGGACCAGCTTTGCAGAAAATGACATTCGATGGCAGCATTGAGAAAATATCATGCATAACACAGCATGCCAAATTTGGGCCTTTAGTTCATGAGGCTGTCCTTGAAAACGTCGGGCCACTATTGAGAGATAGGAATGGACGTGCTTATCGCCGCCAAGCATCACAATCATTAAATATGTAAGATTGTAAATTGTATGAGAAACAATGTTATAATCAACATTGTTTCATCAACAATAATTAGTCCAACCTTTTTATTTACTTCAGGTACTTGAGAGCTGTGGCATACAGATGGTTGATGCGATGGTTTTGTGGGTCTATGGGATGGGAGAATACTCGGCCTTTACCTGCTTGTGTTTACCACTTTATTCGGAAAGCATATCCAAGTGGTAACACAACAGGTTACATACCATCAGAGGGGCGATGATGGAATAGTCTTCTAACTTGTGCACTGTAGAGACTGTTGACCTTCTTTGCTGAGTTTGGAATGGTCAGGAAATATGCCTAGATGAAAACCAAATAGGAGATACATGGATGCACTATATAAGTTGACATGCAGTTTAATGGTTTGAAACAAGAGTAAACAATAAAAACAAATTGGTGCAACTACTGAGAGGTTAAGCTGAAAGAATTAAATGAAAGAATATCTTTTCTTCAATGAAAAAAGACAAAAGAAAAAATATATGGAATTGAATCATAGCATAAATGAAAAAATGGAAAATAGCAAGCCGTTCAAATGGCGAATCGTTTGCTTCCCCAGTGCATACTTAAACATGCTCAGCTTCATCACTAGTAGATGGTACTTCCTCATTGAGAGAACATGTTTCCTTCAGCGATGGCTTATGGAGAGTATGTCGAATAATCTACAAAACTTATATCGAATTTACATATGACAAAAGAAAAATTAACATAAACAAGCGTAAACTTACTTGTCTTCGCTTTCGATCGGTTATTTCGTCCTGTAATGGTTCAGGAATCCCAGCCACGTCAATGGTTGGGATAGCATCTTTCTTCATCCTTCTTTTGAGCTTGACTTACACGCTCAAATTAAGGTCAAAACAAGAATCTTCAAAATGCGCAGAACACAGACACGAGGTAGAGGAAGCCTCAAAACCCGGTCTATGTTTACGCACAAAATTTACCATTTTCTATGTCTTTGCGGCTCTGTTTCTTTTTTAGGAAACAGATGCATCGACATTCCTTCGGTTTTTGAATCATTGGCGCAACTAATTTCATTAGGTCCGCCAGCAACACAGCGTTTTCCTCCGCGTTTCTTATTAAGATTACTAGTAGAATACGCCATGTTGATATATGTGTTCAACTTTCTACGTCACAAGTCATTAGCATACCGATCAAAAAGTTCGCAAAAAAAATGCTGAAAATCGTGACTTTGAACGTCCGTAAAATCACTTTCACCAATCCAATTTCAATTATAATTGCAGATTTAAAATCACTGAAACAAGGTCTTTCAATTTAGCTAATAAAAAAGGGGGGCTAAAATTCGTGATATAACCACTTTAAATGCTTAAAATATATATACAAGATGACGGAAGTTAGTGTATTAATCAAGGTGTATAGTTTCAAGTTAGATGACGGAAGTTAGAGTATTAATTAAGGTGTATGGTTACAAATTAGATAGGAGTGTTTTGGATCTATGGCGACAAGAGGAAACAAGTTCGTTGCGTTTATTGAGGGATGATTTGGATGGTTGGTAGAGGATGAAGAATTTTTCTTTGGGGCAAAGGTTGCATCTTTTACAGGTGCTGTTGTATGGTTTGCTGTGTGTGATGATGTTCCATGAGATGTCGTGGTCGATATTGCTGTCTTTAAGGGTCCAAATGTGCTTACTGAGCTCGGTCGAGTTTCGTAGTTTTTTGTGGCGGAAAGAGGCAGTGTGATTTCTATGTCTAGTCTTAAATTCGTTTTCTGTAAGTCCAATGTACGTCTCAGTTGTGTTATTGTCTTTGCGTTTTACAATAGCTTGGTAAACAACGGATGACTGCAGGCAGTTTCCGTTAAGTGGGCAGTTTTGTTTTTGTCGGCAGTTGCATGTTTTTGTAAGTGTCTTTTTGTTCGCGGTGTTGTCGTTAGTTTTGTCTGATGTTCTCAGTATATGTTTGTTATGGTTGTTGATTATTTGTTCGATATTGTTCATGCAGCTGTAGCTGAGTTTGATGGTGTTACGGTTGAATATTTTCCTGAGTTTATGGTCTATGGGGAAGTGTTTGTCGATTAATGAAAGGAATTTGTTCGTGTAGACGTTTTTGCTGAATGGAGGGTTGTACCAAAGTATATTTTGTCGAAGTCTGTTTTTCCGTTTGGTAGTAGCGTCTGAGTCGAATTTTAGTGTGTATCGGTATCCGTTTTCGTCGAGTGCTTTTTGGTATGGTGCAGTTATTTGGTCAAATGATGCTTTGTCGGATGATAGTGAAGATAGACGTTTGTTGATGGCGTCGGGTATGTTCTGCGTTATGGTTGGTGGATGGTTGCTTTCGCTGTGGACGTATTGCAGAGAAGTGTTGGGTTTTGTGTGAGGGCGATATGAAAAATTGTTAAGATTGAAGGTGATGTCAAGGAAGTTGATGATTTTTTTGTTTGCTTCAATAGTTATGCGTAGTCCATTGTTGTTGAATATCCGACATATTTCCTTTTTAATGTTCTCTGTTTCTCGTGGTGTGGTGTTTGAAATGGCAAGTCCGTCGTCTCGACAAAGTCCTATGTCTGTTGTGGTGTTTTGTAGTTGAGAAAGGAGGTAGCTTCCTACGAGTTCGCATGTCTCAGCTCCGTCGAAGCTACCCATTGTGACGTCGAATGTTAAGTTATATTTCTTTTGCCAGGGTTGTTGGTTGTGTATAAGGAATGAATTCTTAGCGTGTATAATGATGTTTTTTTCGGCGTTTGTGATGTTGTCGTAGGTTGAGGCAAAATCCAGTGCTTTGTTTAGTAGGTCTTGATTAATGGATGGATAAAAGTCTACGATGTCGAAGGATATGAAGGTGACGTTTTTTTTGTGTTTGATAGATTTGAACCACTGGATCACAGATGATGAGTTTTTCCATTGGTTGTATGAGGTTGTTTTTATGATGTTGTTGTTAATTCTGTCCAGTATTTTCTTGCTAATTTTACCAACTTCAGATTTTGTTGGGTTGATAAGTCGGCAGGTTGGTTTGTTCGTAAAGTTTGGTTTATGGTCTTTGAGTGTTATGAATGCATTTTTATGGGCAGTGGCTTCTACTCTGTCAGATATACCCAGTCGTGATGTGATATTTTTGTCTTCGGTGTGGATGGCTTTTATTGTGTCGGCGTTTGATTTCTTGTATGATTTTGTGATGTTTTGTTCAAGGAGGTCGTAGTATGCTGGCTTGTCTAGTTTGTAGAAATTTGTTGTTTTGTCGGCAGCGATTAGTAGCTTCGTTTCGTGTTTCATGGTAGTGGTGTGGTCTTTCATTTTGTTAAGGAATGTGCTGTTCACGTCTTTAAACTTTATCGATTGTATCATTTTCGTCATGTCATTCTCGAAATCTTTTAGGTCGTCGATCGGTGGAGGGTTTTTAGTACTCTTGAAGCCATAGGTATCTTTATAATCGGTGGTAGTATTCGGGTTAAGGAAGAAGTAAGCTTTCCAGCGCATATTACCAAGGAAGGTCACAGATTTTTCAATAAGTCGTTGTAAGTATTCATTCGGTGATGGTAGAGGAATGTTCTTGATGCTGTAGTTGAAGTTGAATTTCTCCATTGCGGATTATCGTAGAGTGCTCAACAAAAATTTATCTTGGAGCGTAATAGGAAGTTTATAATTTATGATTTTCCGTATAAAACAGTGCTCGATGCCCGAGAGCAGAGCGTAAATATGTGTAGTGTTGTAGAGAAAAATCACAAAACTACAGATTCATCCCGACAAGCCTGTTTCGTGACACACTCCTATGTAATTTGTAACCAGTCACACTCCTGTCACACTCCTATGTAATTTGTAACCATACACCTTAATTAATACTCTAACTTCCGTCATCTAACTTGAAACTATACACCTTGATTAATACACTAACTTCCGTCATCTTGTATATATATTTTAAGCATTTAAGTATTTTATTCATTAAATCCCCTGAAGAGTGAGCAATCACGAAACAGGCTTGTCGGGATGAATTGTTTTGTGATTTTTCTCTACACCACTACACATATTTAAGCCTGTGACACACGACGTGGTCTCCGAGACTTTTGTTTCCAAGACATGGTCTCCGATACAAAACTTTGAGAAACTTAACATGACAAACGAACTAAATGTTTCTGAAACTTTGCGGAGTCATTTTGTTTGTTTTTGAAATATGGCGGGAGACGACCTGACCGCTGCTACTTGTGCTGCCATTGTTTTATACATAGCAATTAAACAACGACGCAGAAGACAGAAAAAAAGAACTGTTTGGATAAGAGAATGGATGAAAAAAAGACAGCAGTATGGGGCATGCCAGCATTTAGTGAAAGAATTGCGCTTGTCAGATTCGAATGGATACAAAAAATTTCTACGAATGGATCCGGAATCGTTTGGTGTCCTAGAAAGCTTGATTACGCCATTAATAACAAAAAAAGATACAAACATGAGACGTTCTATTCCAGCAGGTGAACGTTTGGCAGTAACCCTACGTTTCTTAGCAACAGGTTTGTAATTGCTAACTTATGTATCAGTATCGATGAAAAGTGAGCGTGGGGACATGTGTGGACTTTAGGCTAAACATGTAATGACGTTGTTTGAATAGAAGCGAGACATTCATTGTGTTTCTCTAGGTGAATCGTACAGCAGCTTACAATTCTTGTACAGGATAGCTAGACAAACTATGGGGCAAATAATCCCAGAAACATGTGATGCTATATGTGAAGTCCTCAAGGATTACATTAAGGTAATTGTTTCCTCCAAAAAATACATATATTAACATTATCCTCGCTAATTTAATTGGCAATGCAAATACTTGTTGGTTGCAGTAAAGCAGTATTCTAATTGTTTTACATGTAGGTTCCAACAACTGAAGAGGATTGGAGGAAAGTAGAACAAGCCTTTTCAAAGAGATGGAACTTCCCTAACTGCGTGGGTGCTTTGGATGGGAAGCACATATTATTGAAGGCACCCAACAATAGTGTTTCCTTTTATTTTAACTATAAAAACAACTTTAGTATTGTACTTCTAGCATTGGTTGATGCTGACTACAAATTTCTGTATATTGACATTGGTAAAAAATGGTGGAGTGTTCAGAGAATCATCACTAAGCAATGCACTGGAAACAAACAGCCTAAACCTGCCAAGTCCGACATCCTTGCCAGGTGATGTAACTCAAATCCCATATGTAATTGTGGCAGATGATGCTTTTCCACTCAAACCTTATCTGATGAAACCATATGGTCAACGCAGCATGACAATGAAACAACGCATATTCAATTACAGGTTAAGCCGAGCTCGCAGAATAGTAGAAAATGCTTTTGGCATATTAGCAAATAGATTTAGGGTATTCATGACACCAATAGCCTTACAACCTGATTCAGTTGAATAGATAGTTTTAGCTTGTTGCTCCTTGCACAACTTTTTGCGAGCCAGAAATGAAGGATGGAACATTTACACTCCACAGTCTATGATGGATAGAGAGGATCATTTTACCCATGATGTGATTGAAGGTGAATGGAGAAGTCAACCTATTGCAAGTGGGATGACTTCTTTGGGACAGCAAGGAAGTAACAGATCAACATCTACAGCCCAATCTGTTCGAGAACACATCTGCAACTACTTTAGTTCAGATGCAGGATCAGTTCCTTGGCAAATGAGCAAAATATAAGCAAACATGAGCAAAATATAAACAAACATGAGCAAAATATAAACAAAGCTTGATCTTGGGTTAGTAATATTTGATTATTTAGACCAAAATGGTACAAAGTATTGCATGATATTATAGACAAAAAAATGAAAGATTGTCAAGCACAACACCCATGTAAATTTACTAAAAGCATGTTTTTTTTACCTTCTGTGTCACCAACTTTTGTTATCAACTAGTTTTTGTATAAAATAAAAAGCAAACAACTATTTATATTTATTTTTGTTCTTGTTCTTGTTCTAAAGAGTTTGGTAGGTCTTTTCAGCCATCTGATCAAATACCAATTGATTAGTCAAAGGCTGATAAGATGTAGGACTAGGACTGTCACTAGTGCCTGATTGTACAGATGAGCATGGGCTGTGACTGTAGTGAGAACTGGAATAGGGTACTGGACTTGTAGTGGAGAAAGTTGTACAAACTGAAGTTGACTGTGCTTCAAACAAAATATTCTGTATTCGTACTTTAGCCAACCTTTTTGCTGAATCATTTTCAATACATTTAATTTCAGATGATATATACCTTCCAAACAAATCATCAGTACTTTCATCAGCAGAAGAAACATAGACTGAACTCAAGCTTGATTTTTTCCCTGATGCAATAATTTCTAGGAGATCTCCAGCTTTTTTCAAAATTCCTCTTTCTTCAATATCTCTTTTTTGTGCTTTTGTAGCTCTTGATTCCTTGTCTGAGACATTAATTGGGCGCTTTGTGGAAGATGTGGTTGAAACATTTTGATCTAGTTCATTGTTATCATCTTTTTGTTCTTGCTCTTCTTCAAGAAAAGTAGAGTTGCTAGTGTTGCTATTTTTACTTGATCTCTCTATATAAAAGAGAAAATAAATTACTTCAAAGTAAACCCTAAACATACATGTTGCATTAGCTCAAACTAAGTTCTCAAACAAGACAACATACTTTATCAAGATTGCAGCGAGATGATCTACATTCCACATGATCTTTTAAAAACAAAAGCAGTGTCAAATATTGCCATTTGGACTTTGGTGTGACATCATCTGTGGCAGAACCACTTTTGGGTTTGGTGCCTTTGGCAATTTCTTTGCAGAACTGACTTCTAAGGTTTTTGATTTTGCAAGAAACATCCATTGCTATAAAGCGGAAAATACATGAGACATATTTTCCCTTTCAAACAGGCTGAAAAACTGAATGTAATAAAACAGTGGCTGACTGCTGAAAGCCTGAAACATGTTGAAATAAATTGTCATTCTGCAATAGTTGGAAAATCGTTTATAACAATAGAAATCAGCCCTATTCTTTATTATCGTCATTTAAATGCACATAAATTTTTACTTCATAAGTATTACAACGTAATGGGATTCGGTATACTTATCAATCTGAATTCAGTAAAAAATGCTTACTCACCACTCATTTCTAAAGCATTCGCTATCTCCGCAATTGCATTCCTCCTAGCCACTCTATCATGATAGTCAGGGAGCGTTGTATTATACAATACTGGTTTAGCCTCCCACAACTCTGCCAAACGTTCAACTTTATCCCTTGTCCATTCGACCGCCATCTTGTTTTTCTGTCTCATACCACGTGACTTTAATTGTGATATTTAATTGGCCGAAAGTTTTTTGTCCCGGAGACTTCTCTCTGGAATTAGAACACGTTTCTATTTCGGAGACCTAATCTCAAAAAATCTCCGAAACAAAAAGTGTCCGAAACCTAGATGACACATTGCGAAACTTTGTGTCGGAGACCAGGTCTCGGAAACAAAAGTCTCAGAGACCACGTCGTGTGTCACAGGCTTTACACGCTCTGCTCTCGGGCATCGAGCACTGTTTTATACGGAAAATCATAAATTATAAACTTCCTATTACGCTCCAAGATAAATTTTTGTTGAGCACTCTACGATAATCCGCAATGGAGAAATTCAACTTCAACTACAGCATCAAGAACATTCCTCTACCATCACCGAATGAATACTTACAACGACTTATTGAAAAATCTGAGACCTTCCTTCGTAATATGCGCTGGAAAGCTTACTTCTTCCTTAACCCGAATACTACCACCGATTATAAAGATACCTATGGCTTCAAGACAGGGGCGGATCTAGAGTATGTCAAATCCGTCGCGCGACTGATGTTTGAAATTCAAAAATTACCTATTCATATTAATTAAAAATTCATTAATTATTCTTACTTTATTATCGCATTTACTTCGTGATAAAAATCCAGCTTTATTTATTATTGAAAACTAATGACTAATGCAATGAATATCTCCTTGCTAACCAGATCAGTTGAATTTTAATTGACCTGGAATAACCGACTGATAAGCGGGGTGGATTGACTGGTTCGACTTATAAAGGAGTCTATGAACGCCAGAAACGCTATTTTATTGGTCAATGGCCAGATCAGTGGACAGTCTGGAATAATCTCGACCGATAATAGGGGTGGCCGGACCTATAAGGGAGTCCAATTGCTATCTTACAATTGGTTCATTTGAATTTTTGTCTTACTGTGATTGGTTTGACCGATTTCGACTGATAGCCAACTGAACTAACATAGTCAAGCTCAATGTCTGAATTGAATGTTTGATCGTTCATAGTAATTTTCTGAAGCATGATAGAAACTAAACTACAATCAGATGGAATTTATGGAAATCTTTTACAAATTCATATATTGACATGAATGCTGCTTTCCAAACTGGGAATTTTTTCAAGAGGGTGAAAAGTTTATGGATGAATTGTAAATGCTTGGCAAAGACGATCTCGCGAGCGACATTTCAGTCATTGATGTTCAAAAGAAAGCCAACATTGTTTTGAGTTTTATCAGCAGAAATTTACATCGAAAATCGTAAGTAAAGGACAAGTGAAGTGTATGCATGAATGCAATATATCAAAGTCAATTTATGCGAGTGTGTGATGCGATTTATGTTAATATGGCGTATGGTAAGCAGATTGATGCTTCTAAAATTGTTGTTGCCGAAGGACTTTTAGCTATGATTTCCTTAATGCTTGGGGAATCGTGGCCGTTATATGGCAGCGAAATCCTACATTTCTGCAAATATATTTCAATGGACAAAAAATCTGTAGCCATAAGGTGCCATACTATTATTTACTTTATCATAAACAAATGTTTGTGGCTTTTCAGTTTATGATCATTGATCATTCAATCATTGGACAGTTACACTACATATTGTTTAAGATTTGAGAAAACTAACATTGATTACATGAGAAGCTGTTTACTATAACCTGTGATTTTGAGTCTTATGATCCATGAAGCTTTTTATTTTGACAATTTGACTGGAATGGTATTAAACCTGAGTATTTCACATACATGAAATGTTGTCCCATGTCACATATTGTCCCTTTTCTAACTGAACACCTCATGTAGAGATGTAAAGGTGTGTTAATCTACGGCTCATACCAGATTGTTGCCATAAATTCCAAAGGGCTATTGATGTATGAAAAGCATTTTCTATAAAGTAAAAATGTCTTCCTATGTATGCAGATAAACCTTGAAATTTGGCAAAACAGCAAAGTATTTTTCATGATCACTAGGTAATTTTTCTGATGATCATTATAATTTCTAAACTAAATTATTTTAGATTTACATTTAAACAAGCTTTGATCATATGAAAAGATATTTATCACAACCAGTAAGCATGACACATAAACCATTTTTAACATTCATGTAATTATATAATTAAAGACAGGTTGGTTACATTCTGTTTGTATTTGATAATACAATGCTACTAGTGATTGCTATATAGCACACCTTGCAGAAGATAATAGTCTAGTGAAATGCCTAATAAACATTTATGGCATTAAGCTAACCTTAACTGCAAATTTTCACTCTGATAATTTTTGCTTAATCTTTGGCAGAAAAAAATTTTGAGTTTTTCTCAAAGGGTGAATTTGCTGGCACTGATGTGGAGATGGGTAAAGAGTTACAATAAACTTGCATGGTTTGAAGTCTGAGCTTTTCTATATCTATGAACTGTCACTTGTAGTACTAAATTTCTAACTTAACTAATTACATAGAGGTTTGAATGGGGGTCTCTAGGGGGGTCTATGCCTGACAACTTGGTAGAAATTTTAAAGAATATATCTGTTTTTGAATAGCGTTATTGTAAAATAAATCTTACGTTCCTAGACATGCTAATGAGCCATATATTTGGCATGATAATGAGCCTAAATATTTGGCAAAACAATCAAGTATTGTTCACTTTATTTTTTTTTTTGAAAAAAAACGTAAGAAAAATGTGTTGTTTTTACGCAAAAACGATGCCCACAAAATACATTTTGTATTGCTCTAAAACGCTGAAAATGGCATTTTCAAAACTCTGAAATTCAAAATTTCTCAGGGGAGAATGCATCAGACCCCCGCAGTTGCGGAGCGCCTCCGACGTTTTATGACTGATGTTTGAAAAATCCTAGATCCGCCCCTGCTTCAAGAGTACTAAAAACCCTCCACCGATCGACGACTTAAAAGATTTCGAGAAAGACATGACGAAAATGATACAATCGATAAAGTTTAAAGACGTGAACAGCACATTCCTTAACAAAATGAAAGACCACACCACTACCATGAAACACGAAACGAAGCTACTAATCGCTGCCGACAAAACAACAAATTTCTACAAACTAGACAAGCCAGCATACTACGACCTCCTTGAACAAAACATCACAAAATCATACAAGAAATCAAACGCCGACACAATAAAAGCCATCCACACCGAAGACAAAAATATCACATCACGACTGGGTATATCTGACAGAGTAGAAGCCACTGCCCATAAAAAATGCATTCATAACACTCAAAGACCATAAGCCAAACTTTACGAACAAACCAACCTGCCGACTTATCAACCCAACAAAATCTGAAGTTGGTAAAATTAGCAAGAAAATACTGGACAGAATTAACAACAACATCATAAAAACAACCTCATACAACCAATGGAAAAACTCATCATCTGTGATCCAGTGGTTCAAATCTATCAAACACAAAAAAAACGTCACCTTCATATCCTTCGACATCGTAGACTTTTATCCATCCATTAATCAAGACCTACTAAACAAAGCACTGGATTTTGCCTCAACCTACGACAACATCACAAACGCCGAAAAAAACATCATTATACACGCTAAGAATTCATTCCTTATACACAACCAACAACCCTGGCAAAAGAAATATAACTCAACATTCGACGTCACAATGGGTAGCTTCGACGGAGCTGAGACATGCGAACTCGTAGGAAGCTACCTCCTTTCTCAACTACAAAACACCACAACAGACATAGGACTTTATCGAGACGACGGACTTGCCATTTCAAACACCACACCACGAGAAACAGAGAACATTAAAAAGGAAATATGTCGGATATTCAACAACAATGGACTACGCATAACTATTGAAGCAAACAAAAAAATCATCAACTTCCTTGACATCACCTTCAATCTTAACAATTTTTCATATCGCCCTCACACAAAACCCAACACTTCTCTGCAATACGTCCACAGCGAAAGCAACCATCCACCAACCATAACGCAGAACATACCCGACGCCATCAACAAACGTCTATCTTCACTATCATCCGACAAAGCATCATTTGACCAAATAACTGCACCATACCAAAAAGCACTCGACGAAAACGGATACCGATACACACTAAAATTCGACTCAGACGCTACTACCAAACGGAAAAACAGACTTCGACAAAATATACTTTGGTACAACCCTCCATTCAGCAAAAACGTCTACACGAACAAGTTCCTTTCATTAATCGACAAACACTTCCCCATAGACCATAAACTCAGAAAAATATTTCTGGTCATCCAGCTCTTAGTGATGCGAGTGCAACAATAGAATTCATAAGGATTGTTGATCAACTTTTTGACATATTAAAGATACGAAGTCCATTTGGCAAATGTTTTTAAAAAAACCACTTTTTTTATGTGATCACAACACATGGAAAAAAACTTTGGAAAAGTCAATTGAATACCTTTTTTCCCTTAAAACAAACTCTGGTGTTCCTCTGATCAAACATAGAGGAAAAACATTTGTTCTCGGTTTTGTAGTAGCAGCATCGAGCATTAAAGAGTTGGCTCACATTCTCCTTACAAGGGAACATGATCCTTTCAAATACATTCTGACATACAAAATGTCCCAAGACCACCTTGAGCTGCTGTTTGCATGCATACGTGGTAAGAATGGCTTCAACAATAATCCAGATATTGTACAATTTAAGTCCAGTCTACGAAAAATTCTTTTAAGAAATTCCATCATTGGTTCCAAGCATGCAAACTGTTTGACTTTCGAAAATGAATCTGCTGGTTCTATTTTTTCATTAAAATGGAATAAAAGAAATGCTCCAGCCTTTGAAGTAGAAGAGATGACACCAAAGGACACACAATATGCCAGTAGTTTAGTTTCTGGATTAGAATCATGTTCACTGTCATCATACAAAGAAGCAATACTTGGATATATTGCTGGGTTTGTTGTAAAAAAGATAATCAATAGAATCACCTGTACTGAATGTGCAAGAGCTCTTTTGCTTAAGTCAAAAAAATCATCATCAGTTCATGATCATAATTATTCACACT